GATGTTCCTTCTTAGCAATAAACATGGGGACTGTAGTTTGTTTTGAGTCAGTCCCACATACATTGTCCAGGTGCCATAAATACTCTTCAGGGTTCAGCACTAAGGGCTACATACAGGCTAGACAAGTTGTAAAGTATTTGTTTTGGTCTTTTCATAGGGTTTGTTGACATTAAGAAAAAAATTCAACAATGCCAACTTTATCCCTTAAAAAAACAAACTCAAAGATTAAATTGGGATCAAATTCCTTATTGGTTCCCAATAAAGGTTTGATCCTTAACTAGGAGGACCCATCAATAGCTGACTAGAAAGAGAAGTAGCTACTTAAATCCTCTTCTGCTTTCTTGTGCGTTCTGCCAGACATCTGGACACTGTCTGTTTTACGACCTGCAACTTGAGCTAATGCTCTGTCTGAATCCAGTATACCACAGCATGGTTTGTATTGTCAAGCTGTCTCCTAAAAAAAATTGTGCCAAAGTACACATTCTTCTTAATCAGTCTTTTTTTTGTTTTGTTACATTGGGTCTTGTTTTATAGCCAAAGCTAATGGTTGGAACATGCTTCTAATCTACTGTAAGAATGCATTAGAGTAGGGAAATCAACAGTTGGTCTTGTAAACTTTAGATTTATGGAATGTTTTGTAGATTGAATTTGACATTAGTACTTGACTTTACCAGGCGCCGGGGGTATAATCTCTAAATCCATGTTATAGAGGCCAGGATGTGTTTCGTGACAAACAAAAGCTGATGTTGAAAATCACAACTGATTTCTCATGGAGCCCTCACACTTTACTGCTTCACAGACTTAGAGATGTGAGTATTTTAATTTCAAAGTACAGTAAGGTGCCCTATGCCTAGCTCCAGGGGCTGGTGTAAAAGCATCTGGAGAAGCTTGTGGCTTTGGCCTAACACATGAACTATCCTGCCAGCCCACACTATGGCTTTACCAGCTCCGACCTGTTTTGCTATCCTCATTTTCTTCCATTCTCCTTTTTTCTCTGCTCTCCAGAACCTGCATTTCTCTGTCATCTGTCAGCCCTCACTCTTTCTCATAACATTCAGCAGCTTAAAGAGAAGCCTCTTTTTGATCATCCTAATTCTCTTGCTGATCAGCTTCCCGTCACAGTATTGGTCATAACAGTAGCTTCTTGTGCTTCCATGGACAAGCTTGGATTATGTTGCTTTTATTAATTAATTAATTAAACTAATTCCATTAATTGCTAATTCCATTGCAATCATGCGAATAAATTAATGCTACAATTAGTTATGTTTAATAAATCAATTATGTAACAGTGAATTATATTTAGGTCGTCTAGCTAGTTGAGAGTATTTTGGATTTTCTCATGTCCAAACTGTCTTGTTTCACATTTAAGTCCCATGCATGAGTCATGAGAACCCACAGACTGAGGATGCACTATAAATGTGTTGAAATAGGGCTCACAATCATTAACTAGTAATATTAACAGAGCATGACTAATAGACAAGTTCCTGTGAGAGTGTGGCCTTGCTAAGCCAATCGAAAGTTAGACCATGCAGCAGCAGCCACCACCAGTGTCCCAGTGGATAAGTGGTGGGGTGGAACGAAAGGCTGTCCACTTAGTCACTGTACTGTATGTCTCATTCAAATTGGTATGCTCATTTCCATTTTCTATTATCTCCTAAAAATGTGGGTCATGAATGTGTCGGCCATTAACATTAATCAGACTCCAGATTTCATTTGTCAGAAAACAATGGCCAAAAAAACCCCTTTTGTTTGTTTTTGTTAATGTATAAGTGGTGAAAATGTATGCCATTAATGCAAGCAGTTTTTCTTTCTGTGTCTTCCTGTGTTTGTCATGCCACAGATTGCCTTGAGTTCTGTAATGGGGCTAGAGCAGCTGTAGTAGCCCAAGTTAACATCGGCAAATCTGTCTGAGGCAGAGAAAGATGAATGAAGACTGTGAGATACAGTATGATGGGAAGACAGACAGAGGTTTGTTGTAAAGTTGACTCATGCTTGGGTTATGTTTGTCCTTTCACCAACCAAGCAACTGTGGATAGTGGTAGAAAGCATGAGTGTGTACTAAGCGACTATGTACAAGTGTTCCAGTTTGCATAGAGTAGAAGGTTTTCCCCCAGATTGACATGGCTGGACCATTAGCAAGCCTCATTAGGCTGAATGCCAGCATGCAGAAACAGACGACGGAGAGGTCCAAGGTTCAGTTCAGCAGTCTGTACTAATAGCTTGGCATATAGAGAGAGATGAAAATGAAGCTTAGCTGACTAGTTAAGGCTCAGAAGATACAAATGGGTTTTGAAAATAAGTTTGAAGTTGAGGATTGGAAAATAAAAACAAGTTTGTAGTTTATCATTATAGGATGTTAGGAATAGAAAATAATGCAGTTTCTTCCTGGCTGAAAATGGGTCTTATCCTGTTGATTGTTATCTAAATATTAAGCACTTTTTGCTGGTAGTTAAAAACAGTTTATTTCATCCTCAAGTAGCTAAATGGATCACCAGATGATATATGTCAGTGTAGGTGTGATTGAGCTGGCAGATGACATTAAGTAATGGATATTACGTTCACATCGCTTACCACCTCTGCTAAACATCTTCCTCAGTCTTTACCAGGTGTTGAATAAGACTGAAAGTACACGTGGTAATGATTTGGGAGACTAGTTATTAGAATCCTTTTTTTGGCATGTAATGTTTTCTTGGAGCTAAATGTGAAACTCAAGTGGGATGCAATCTAATTTATGAGACAATGAAGACAATACGCTGCATGGCATCTTGGCTATCAGACCTTCTTTCAGGTTGATCATATGAGAGACTTCAGTGCTCTGCCAAAATAATAACTTGCATGAAACATTCCTTGCTGAGACCAGGAGACATTTTTTGAATATATAGCCAGTTTATGGTAATACTACTTAGCCTGTCATTGTTGTACATATATGAATTTGTCTTTGGCAAAGCTGGTTCACTTAAGCTCTCAATCACATCAAGTCAAGGCTGCACAGATTGTGTTTGTCAGATCTGTCAAACCCTGGCGCCATGGGTTGGAGCTAACAAGATAATTACTGGATTGGTAATATCTGGTGGGAAGCAGTGTTAAAGTTGGTAGTCAAGAGTAGAAATCACAAGTCAAGTCAAATGAATTCACTGGACCACACAGATGGAATTTATAACAAGTGTCTCTTCAGTCTGCAGTGTTGGCGGCTGCTGGCTCACTTCTCCAAGAAATCCAGCCAGCCTCCGTGGAGAGGAAATGAAGTGCGTGCGTGTTTATAATCAACTGCCAGATGACTTATTTGAGCTGTGAATACACCTCACTGTTGTTAACCTTAGTCACCAACTAAACTGGTTAACATTCAAAATGTAGATCAGCTCTGTAACTGCTCTAATGGATACAATTTATTAGATTCAATTAATGCTTGTGCTTCATTATATTAATGAAAATTTTGCACCCAGGGCACACCGCCTGCCTAAGCAGTGCCTGTGCAATCTTTGAACCTCTTGCTTTTCATTTCGGCGCATTGCCCATGTTAACAGGTTAGAGCAGCCACACAGCCAATGTGAGAAGCATATGGCTTTTAGAATTTGACCAAAATCTCATATCCCAATATAGGTAATTTCATATGAATATAACTATACATATCACAATATAGGCTATAGGTCATAGTCTAGTGAAAATGATCTTTTGATAGACAGACATGATTTTTACATTTTTTAATATTAAACTCAAAAATATGGATTGTCTTACTAATAAAAGCTGATTGATTGATTGATTGATTGATTGATTGATTGATTGATTGATTGATTGATAAAGCAACATCAAGTAGAAAAACGAGCTATAAAATTAATCTAAGTCAGTTTATTTGTCAAAGTGCAGGATATCTCACCTCAGACATTTCTACCATTTGTAGAAGTTATGCTCTCACTTTCCTGGGTCACAGTTCACAATTTGTATTCTGAAAAGGAAAGCCAGGACTCTTGTTGTCTCTGTTCTCCTCTTTCATCAGGACTCTGCTGTGAAACAGGTCATTGTTCTCCATGGGATTATTTCTTTTTAGATAAGGGTATCAACAGAAACTAGTCCCCAATAGAGAAGGTATCACTGAAACCAAATTCCATCTCTCCAGTGCTTTTGGACAGGTTCAGTCTTGAGGAATATGGAGATGATGGTCTGGTATGCACAGTACGTGTTTGCATTATAATGAAAAATATCATCTTGATATTGTAGTTGAGGCCATACAGTTTGTCCAGAGAGACAGTTACTGTTTCTTGTAGAGCTGAAATTATTAATTGACTATAATTTAAAGTTCTTGAAAGTTGAATGCTTAATTGGTAAATCATAACAATAAGTCATTTTATCAATGCTGACCTGAACCTTTTAAGACCTTGAACAGAATGTGAACCATTTTATTAAGATTCTCATTCTACCTTTTACCTTGTAGAACAAGTGTGTTTTAATTAATCTGTCTCAGTAACCACTTGCTGCACATTTCAGTGATACCCTCCAATCCTGCATAGTTTCCTATACAGTTACTACATTAATTGATTCATAGATCGCTTGGTTTGACTAATCTTCAAGGTGAAATTATTCTAACTTGACTAACTTCACTAAGTATTGGGGATGTCCTGATTAAGTAAATATCTCATACTAATCTAATCTCATACTTGTATTTACCTAAATGATGATCTGGCACATTAAAATTACAACTGCCATCTAAATTGCTAGTAGCTATGAACTACTTGATACAAATACTGAGTGTTCTGGCTTAAAACAAGTTCATAGGCTTAAGTTATTAATATGATATGAATGAAAGATAAACTGGGAGAACGTGAGTCCTGAAAGTGATGTGATCAGCTTACATGAACTGTAGACCCTGACTGTGATTAAGGAGAGTAAAGAAAGGACTGGAATGTGATCTGCTTTGTTTAAGCTGATATTGATCCTTCAAAATATACCCAGATCAACATCTTTAGTATGTACATCATTCTTTATTTTTCCTGTCTATCTTTCAGGGTCACCTGAGAGCCTTCAGGCTGTCATCTGCAGTTCACTGACTCCGACAAGACACCGGGATCTCTGCTGTCTATAAGTACATAAGGCAGCACTCCACTTGTTCAGATGTTGTCAAGGTAACAAAGGGTGTTTGTCTGTTTCACTTATTCTTTCAAAAAAGGCCACTGACCACCTTGAAGCGAATGACCTTGTATTACAGAGCTGTTACAGGAGGAATTTTGGTCTGTGTCATTGTTGCCACTTTTGGTGACTGCCAGGATTATGGTGACATGCTTCCCTTTTTACATCCTCAATTTTCCATGCCATTTTTTTCCAACATTATTTCTTGCAGCTTATTTCTTATTTCTTATTATTTGGTTATGCATGTGTGTGTGCCCAGTGCTGTAATAGTAGAAAGTGACCTGGAGGATTTGTTGTAGCCCATTATCCCTGTGATTGTGTTGGAAATGCAAAACCTCTTAATTCGTGGTATTATTCCTATTGTCCACAGTCAACTTAATAGATTTTTTCCCAGCACTAAAAAGCTAATGCCACCTACTTGAGATATCAGTTCAGGTTATTTTATTTGTACCTGCAGGTAGGTTTGCAGTAAAATATAAACAATTGGAGTTGCACTATACAGACACTAGAGACACAGATGGTGGGTGTAGCAACTCTAATGTAGTAGGTAGGACTAACTTTTATTATAAATATAATGTATAAAACTTTGGTTAATAATATAGTTTGTAAAATGAGGAGTAATCTGCTTTGAGATAAAAAGTGGTGAGTAGGTGGCTCTTATCTATGAGATTGAAACAGCATGTTTTGTTCCAGTAAATGGTTTGCTTCTCTCTCTCTCTCTGTGTTTCTTTCCCTCTCTCGCTTCTTTTTCTCTCTCTCACCTCCTCCTCCAGCCAGCAATGCTGCTCTCCTCCCCTCCCACACACACAGATACACACATACTGTAGATACAGACACTACTATATTCACACAAGTATGAAGGAGAGGGGGAGAAAGACTAGGAATGAGAGATAATGTAGCGAGTGAAAGAAAAACACATCAGAGAACAGACAGAGATGGTAATAGAGAGTGGAAGAAAGGAATGTAATGAGAGAGATGAAATGGAAGGGGGAAAAAAGTTTTTGACGTTTTATTGAAATCTACCCGGGTCCAAAAGTAACAGCAGTGATCAATAAATCAGAAGATGCCTGATAATTTACAACTCTGAAAGTCACTCAGTCTGTTTTATAAGAAGACGTTACAATCCAAATTTATGATATAAATTTGAGAGAATTCCAGAAAACACAATCCAGCAACCTCTTGTACACTCGACACACTCGACACAGTTAGACTCACTTAAAGAGCACTGCAGTATGAAATCTTCCAATCACTCGCAGTTGAATAGAAACCAGCGCTAGGCAGTGAGTGTTGCTTCAGATGGCATGGAGTCATAGGGACTGAGGCGAAGTGCCATTGATAGTCATGTTCCTCACAGGTTGAATGTTACTTGATTTTCAAGAAGGACTTTTAAAGGTCCGTTGTGTAAGACTTAGGGGGATCTGTTGGTAGGATATGGCAGCGATTGTATTCAGTTGGTTGCAATCTGCACATTCAGAGCTAGATCCCACTAAATTCTACACACTGGTCCTTTTTAAAACTTTTTCTAGGATAATATTTTTTTATGCATACAATGGCATCCATTGCATCAAGTGAGCACTGATTCTCTCGTGTTCTATGAACAACTTCTTTCACCAAAGTGTATCACTGATTATATAAGTATGTATGATTTATATGTGGATGTAAAGGATGTACAGTTGCTACATCTGTATTCAGTCTTGTACAATGCAGGCCCATTAAAAATTGTCTGAATGGAAAACTCTCTATAAGCAGTGCACTCTGTTTTTTCAGGTTAGTAAATGCTAGTACTGCACTTTGAGGACTTGCATCATTATGGATGGTTCCCCCAGTGCTGTCTCTGCCAGCTGTGTTTTTATGAGTGAGATGGAAGGAAGGATGGATGGATGGAAAGAAAAGAGAGTGAGGGGATAGTTGACTTGATGGACTGACTACTCACTTACTTTCTGTATCCATCTCTCTCTTTCCCACTTTCAGTCTCAGCATCTCATCTCCTCCCACATGCTCTCACATTGAGTGAGGAATCAATCCTTCTCACTTCCATTATCTCTCCCTATCCATCGCTATCGCTCTCTCTGCCACTTCATTCTGGCCATTCTCTTCCAATCGAATACACTTGCTGTAGGCACAAATGAGCGTGTGTCTCTCCAGTCCCACAGCAATCATACCACGTCCTCATTAGGTCTATTCTTGTGGCCCGCCTTATCCTGCTTCATCCCTTTTTCCCCACTATAATTGGGCAAAAACTCTGCCTACCTGTCAGCAGGAGCCTTGATACAAATGCTGCAAATTATTCCTTACTGCCACAGGGTTTATTAGCATTGTGTAGGTTATGACAATGGCCTCAGAGCAACTATGGGTCATTGCTGCCCTGTGTAAATTTCAGTAAATGGGTGTATCCTGGGGAGTCAGATCTCATTCAAACCACCACCACCCTTGCTATCTTATGAATAGTGGCTGCAGTGAAGACAGAAAGAGAGAGCCTTGAAAAATAAAACGTGCATAGTTTGTTTTCAGGCTTTCTAGGTCAAAGTAGGTGATTTTAAACTTCATTATGGCTACATTTTTTTCCATCATGACTAATGCTGAACATATGAGAGAGTTGCTTACTTGGGGTGGTTCTACAGATGATCCTGTGCAGGGCTTTTCTCCAGAAGGTTTTGAGAATATTCTGGATGCACAGGGACACTCAGGATATGCATTTATTACACAGTAACCCCAGCATTTAGTTGTTTATGGCTGATTCATGAAATCATTGCAAAAACACACTTGTATTTCCCTAATGACTCTCAACACTAGAGCTGCACGATATGGTTAGAAAAACATGTTTTCTTCTGGGTATCTCTGCAGAACTGCGATAGTTTATATTATAATGCTGTTGTGTCACATTTTAACTGTATCAAAAACTTGCAGCTTCTGCGATTTGGATATTGCACTTGGCCATATATTTTCGTTTTGATAATATTTTGATTAATTGTGCAACACTATTATTTACTCTCTCCTTTTTAAAATACATTTTTATATAACCTTTATTTTGACAGAAAATCTCATTGAGACATGGGGTCTTATTTTCATGTTTGAAGTGTGGGCTATTAGTTGTGTAGTATCACTGTTGCATTGTTTGGAGATACCCCTAATGTGGTGTGTACAGATGTTATACATCATTTTGTAATTCAGTAATCAATGAGTGTTGAGCACAAAAGAAGAGCTTCAACCTTTTGGTTCCATTTGTGCTATTATTAGAGCTTGTGAAATGTGTATAGGATCCTTTTTTTTGTATCTTAAACTGTTAAACCTTCAAGTAAAGCTAACTAAACACACTGAGGAAGTCAGTTATGCAAAAATGAGCAGGTAACTGTCTACAGTTACAGCAACTATCAGGAATAAAAACAAACGGTGGCATGGAAATGTTGGCAGCAGCACAAACGGACATCCCAAAACCTTGATTTAACAATCTCTATGGAGGCTCTGTACTTAAGCTTCGTCTTGCACTAGTATAATTTGCTAATAGTGTCAGCTGCAGGTAGTCCTATAAAATCAGCAGAGCAGTGTTAACACACCCTAACACTTAAGTAGATAATGTGTTGTTTCTTGAGCTATTGCAGAATCAGTTTGTAAGTGGTTTTGTATTTTCTTTAAAATCACCCAGGCTTCAGTCTTGAGTGTGACTGGCTCACGCATTCTCTGTCTGACCTGTCACTTCCTCAGGGGAAGCAGGAAGTGGCTGAGATGTGTTTCCTGTTGGAATGTGAGACTGCTTCCTTAGCTGAAGCAAAGCCTGGCACTGCCCTGTGTTGGAAGGCAACAGCAAAAAACTGGCTTTCCTTACTATATATTCACAGCACATTACAGCCACATCCATTAAGTTTTAACTGTATATCCATAACGTATTGCAAAGTACAAACAGCCACTTTAACTTTAGTTTAACTTCCCTCTTCTGATTGAAAAATGCATCCATTTGCAGTCATATCTTGTAACAAATTTTGGTCAAAAGGTGTTTTTCTGTTTAATGACAAAACTGCTCATTACAGCCAACATCTGGTAAGGAGGAGGACAGAAATGGTGACGTCATCTGACAAAATCAAGATAAATACAGGTTAATGACAACAGCTGTGTGATCAGTCTATATCTACATTTAAAACGAGGGATCAGAGAAAATTAGAGAGGACAGAAAGTGTAACTTTGCTGCCATGCAACCAACTGTGACTGGAAAGGCAACAGGAGGAGGTCAGTTACTCTGCAGGTTTTCAGCCTTTTAAACCTGTTTAATCCCCTCCTGCTCTCTGTGATCACCTCTGATCACCTGTAATATTGTTCTCATTTACATATGATTCTATTTCTGTTCAGAGAAGGGAACATGTATAAAATAGGGATTTAATGTTTGCTTATAAATACTAGTCATTCTCAAGTAGATTTTATGATTGTTAAGGCGAAATGAACATAAATACAGGTAAATGACAACACCTGGGCTGTGTGATCAACACACCAAGTTGGTATTTTTAAGATTCATCCACTTTGGAGATGGCTTGAGAAAAGCTCAGTCTTTGAGTGAGAAATGCTTGGTAGTATGGTCAGAGAGCTGAAATGGAGAGAAAAACATTTAAGCACTTCTAATTTGAACCGTCTTAATGTGGATGCACTCTTAAGATTGAGAGCACAGGTGGGAATCTGTAGAATTCCTTTGTGGCTTCATTCACATTTCACTTCCTTATTTGTCATTTTTTATTTCTCTTATTTCTCCACTGAGTGGAGTATCTGTCTGTCTATCCAGCTCTGTCTTCTTGCATAGAGTGAGCTGCTCTCAGTTCTCAGTCCTACTCCTCTCCTTACTGCAGTGCTCTTTCTGTTGCCCACGCAGAGCTGCGCCATTTTGGAAATCTGCAGCTCTTTTCACATAGCTGTAATCCATTGCTTTTCTCCCTGTGACTAAATAAGTTACCTGTGCTATGAGGCAATAGGCAACAGTACATCCTCATTTACTCTGTGGACTTTCATATGACTGAAAATATACCCTGTGTTACCAGTTAAAAAAGAACTTTGCAGTACAGAATTGAAACCGAGCTAGTGAGACCATGCTGAGATGAACTTGCTGCTGGGAAACATGTAATTATCGTCTATATTTCTGTTCTCCATGCCTTTCTTTCTTCATTTCTGAACTTTTGTGTACCAGTATTTTGTGATGCATCAAATGGGTCATATAATTTAAGTACGACAAAGTTCCTGCTTCCCGTTACCAGAATTTAATTTACTCTTTAGTTTTGATGACAGGGCTGGGGTATGGTTTGCCCTCTCACTTTCTGTATTCCTCTCAATTGTGTTTGCTTCTGGTTTTCCTCTCTTTCAAAACGTTCCTTCCTTAAACTCTCTACACTTTAATTAATTTACATTCTCATCTTACCCTGTGTATCTCTTCTCCATCCTCTCTCTCAACACACTCTCCTCATTCCCTTTCTTTATCTCTCTACAGTACATCAGCCCCCAGCCACCATGCTAATTACACCGCAGTTCTTTTTCTCTATTATTCACCACTCTGTTAGTTCTGTCACCCTCACTGCTGTGTCTGCTTTTGCTACATCGCCAGCATTTTGTTGGGGTCTGCAGTGGCTGTTGAAATGAGGAGGGGGCGTGTACTGGTGCCCAGTTCAACAACAAATGGCTGTTTAGCGTCATCTGATTGGCACAGATTAGAGGGCTCTTGGTGGTGGTGCGGAGGTGGCTCTTGCAGAGGACCAGGTGGCTTCAATGCTGCTGTCTGAGTGCAGCTGACGGAGCCATTTGCCTGGAATGTCTTTTACTATTTTTATGACATGTTGCTCTGTTATCTGTGATTGAATGGATTAAGACAGAAAATGGGTGAAAATTAAAATGAAGCCATATTTCACCAGATTAATGGTTTTATTTTTAACACTGCCACCTCACTGCTGAGGTCAGTCCAGCTATCAAACAGATACAAAAGCACTGACAAGAAGGGGTGGGAGAAGTAATCACTTTTTAAACACCTTGCAATTCTCTGTTTAATAGTTTAGCATTGATGCACAAAACACCTTAATTCAGAGAATCCCCCAGGGCTATTTGTATGTCAGCTGCCGTCTTAATAGCTCATCACTTGCCTTTGTCTGGCTGGCTACTTATATGTACCTTGGCGAGGGCACATTTTGTGGAAGATTTTTTGAGCTTGCATGATGAAAATGATGTTAATGTGTGCTAGAAATTCTGCTTCTGATCTTGTTTGGTTTTAATTTAGTCAAATTGAATTAACTAACTTGACAGCTACACTGTATACGATGCCCAAAATGCTCAACTTTTGTTTTTTTCAGTATCTGGTATCTTTTTGCTAGTCACACACACACACACACACACACACACACACACACACACACACACACACACACACACACACACACACACACACACACACACACACACCTTCTGCCAAATCTCTGAGTGAGGAGCCTGAAATGTATTCTTTAAAGATGATGCCTGCGGCTTGGTTAGTTTCAGTTGCTTATTTTTAGGCTATAGCAAATGGATTGGAAGCTTTCATTTAGGAGGACCCTTGTTAAGTCTGTGCGTGTCTGAGTGCATGTGTGTGTTCTTCACTGTTTACTTATTTATTGTCTTCTGGAGAGACCCAAGAGTTGACAAGGTGTGAGACCAAGTAAATGTCAGCAAGTGCCAAGGTGTTTTCTGAGAAAGAAACACGTGCTTGTCAGGCTAGCACTGCAAAGGTTTTTATCTGAGATTAGCCCATTAGCTTTTTGCTACTAAATGTGTGCCCCTTTTTGGTTGGGTTTAGTTTAAGCTACTGTAATAATCATTGGTATTTTCATATATAAATATCCATTGCACTTGACTAAGTGTTGTACTGATCTGTATTGCTGTCTGTTTATGAAGACATGAGTGGGATTGAAGACAGGAAGTATGTATGTAGCAACAGCAATGATGGGCACTGTGGCTTAACATGCAGAAAACAAGAATACCACAGACTCTTAACTGCAATAGAAAATCCAAACAAACTCTTTGACAAGTCATTCAGGAACGTGCAAAGCAAAAACAACAACCTTTGTTTAGCTCCACAGATTTTTTCCTAAAATCAAAACAAACAAAACATATTAAACAGCAGCAGGCAACAAGAAGCAGTCACTCCTCGCTTTAGTAATGAGATGCTTTATACCTGCAGTTTGATTGAAATTAGACAAGCAGAGCAGCAGTTATATTTTGGATGTTCAAACATTTGACCTTAATACCTCTCCAGTTCAGCCAATTATAGTATTGCTTAGACCAGAACATTGTATAAAAGTCATCCTACAGTCTAATTTTTTGGAAAATCCGACCAGTGATGTAAACCTCACATTTTCTCAAGATTTTGACTTTTATTTATAGAGGTTGTGTGTGGGGAGGTTGGAACTGACATTTTATGCCCACAAAAGTTGTGGTACAGGAAATGTTTGAACTTATGTTGTGCCTCATCCTCAGTCCATTTAGCAGCCACCTGTCTGTCTTATGGATGGGTGGACAGCTTGAGCAAAATGTGCTTGTTATTTAATTGGGTTCCCTCAGCAGAATGACATGGAACAAAAAAATGTGCAAGGAACAATACCCTTCCGTCTTAACAGTATAAACTGAACCTGCACCTTGTGCACAAACTGTAGAATAGGGCTGCAGATGCCACTGTAGAATAGGGCTGCAGATGCCAAAACAATGTAATGTCTGTTTGATTAAAAAGAACCTTACAGTCACTAGTGGAACATGTTTGTTCTATATCTGAGCAGTAACATACTTTATGCTCACAGCCCTCCATGTGAATATGTTGTTGGCTAAAAGTGAAACAGAAAAGTGACATCTCAAACATGCACAACTCAAAGATCTTATAGATTATTGTGAGATAACGTAGTTACGTCACTATTACCGGTCTATAAAAAACAGCCCTGCAGGGAAAATCAATCTATCTACCAACCAACCGACCAACCCCCACCCTCCCAAAATCCTCTCTGCTTGCCATAAATAATAAATCAGCACGTCACAAGGGCAGTTGGCTGTATGGGTGGACCTGATTCATCAGACCTCACGCGACCCAGATACCACTGTGCGCGAATGGTGTAAAAGCCAATGTGATGATGAAGAGCACAGTAGTTCAGTAGTTCATATGGGATTTGTTTGTATATGGCAGTACTTAAAAGTTTAGTTAAATAGTGATTGAACTGGCTTTGCTAAAGGAACAGGAACAGGGTCTCTGTTATACAAAGCAGTGCAACAACAAAACTCAACAAAAGATGAGATTTAAGATCCACAAAGGTAGTTTATAATGCATGCTTATTGTATTGGATTAATCTTGTCATTGTGTCAAACTGTTGTATGTTTCTTGTGAATTAATACTGTATTAGGTAATTAACATTCATGTGTATTCTTCATCGATGCCTTTGTTTTCACTCGATAAAGGCATGTAGATGTATAATAAAGTGAAACGTATCCCATTGCACCATGAAGGTAGAGAGGAGGGGAAACTGAGGGTTGGACGCCTGAAACACAGTAGGGGGAAGGCAAGGAAGTGTTTATGTGTGTGAGGGGTAAACAGGTATTGTTGTCTTTCTGTGGTGGTTTGTGGGTTTGATTAAACTGCATCGCTGAGCAGAAGAGGTAATCATACACGTGATGTTGAGGCAAACTGCCTCTTCCTGCATATTCTCAATGCACTGATATCTGTACCAACTGTGTTGCTGTGGGTTACAGTGAAAACACACACAAGCTTGCACACAGTGGATGTAAGAAGACCATAGCTATTTGTGTCATTGTAGCACACTGTGGACCTGGAACCCTAAGTGGCACTTATCCTTAGTCCCTCACTCCTCTAAATATCCATCCTGTCCCCCTCCTCCATTTCCCATCACTCATATCGCTTCTGTTCTGCATAGACATCATCATAGCTGTTGATCCAGTGGGATGGAGTAAGGGGTGTTTGGGCAGTGTGTTAACATGTTCACTGACATGTAACACATAAAAGTGTGGACAACTTCATTCTACATTCTCAAGCTAACAACTTGGGAAGAAAAAATGTGAGTCTGTTTTCCAGGAATTTAGTCTGCCCTCATTGATAAAAATAGGGTGGTCAGTATAAAACAATACAATTCAACAGCACCACATACTAACTACTACTTAACGTGATTAGACATAGAAGAAGACTATAATGGAAAGAAATTATAAGAAGATGCCGTCCACACTTTATTGTTAAAGATTTTATAATTTGCAGTGACATTGTTTTTTTTCCGAATGCAAATCTGGCCCTTCACTCACCCGAGGTATTTGAAATATATTGCTGCATCATCACATTCTGAACATAATAAACTTTATTTAGCCAAAATGACACTGAGGTTGATGAATTGACAATGTTTAACTTTTTTCTTCTTTGTCCTTGTCATTTGTCAGGTGATTTGTGAGTACAAGAGATCCAGACACCCACAGTCAAAGAAGAGTCGTCGTCTTCTTTTTTTTTTTTTTTATTAAGGCCAGGTGAGAATACTTTACATTTTTATAAACCATGTGCATATGCTAGCTTTGCAGAAATGCAAGAAAGAGGATCTCATTAAATCAGGAGTCACAGTTGAACTAATACAAGTGTCAATGGAGTCATAAAGAAATGAGTCACAAATATGGAAATGAGATGTTCCATATTTGTGACTCAGTGCTTCAAAAACATCTGTTTGACTAATGAGACAGTTAAGAACTGCTGCTAAAACAGAGGTGTGAAACAGAGTGGTAATATGAGTGACTTCACAGTTAAGGCTATAGTCTCGACTGCAGCACTGTGTAACTCACTGAGCAGACTGTGCCTCTGGCCATTACAAGTTGTTGTTGAGGCATTTGAAATGAAAATGTATGACAACAGCATTCAGCCTTTCTTTAGAGTCACTGTTCAGTATTAAGGGATGCTTTTAAGGTAAATATCTTCATATTTATTCATAAACCAAACCCTTTAGGTACCTAGAACCTTAGCTATATATATTCGTTATTAATACACACACACACACACACACACACACACACACACATACACACATACACACACACACACATACACACACACACACACACACATACATACACACATACACACACACATACATACACACACACACACACACACACACACACACACACACACACGCACGCACACACACACACACACACGCACGCACACACACCCCTCTCTCATCCCTCTGCTCATCTCCTCCCACTGCCTCCATTGCAATTCTGTGATAGCTGGGGATAGTGGAGTGTATGCCGTAGAACGCCTTCGCAATTTCACACGCGAGAGAAGAAGACAACACCGGCAGACTTCAGAGCTCCCAAAAAGCCCCTTTCACATTTCAGTGAGCCAGAGAGGAGACCCCACCCCACTGCCGAGCTCTGCTGGGGGAGAAAAAACAGCAATGCACGTTTATCTTTCCGCACAATTACAATTTCACTTTGAAAGGCTCTGAGCTGAAAACTCCAACACATTTGACTGCCTGGCAGCTTTCAAAGAGAATAATGTTTGATTTATTTTTTTTCCCCTTATCTTCCCTGTGTGTCTTGGCCTGCCATTTCGTCATCTACACTCAGACAAGCTGAGATGAAAAGCTGTTTGGCTTTCAAATGGCTGTGTAGTACTTAAGAACATTGGGCCACTGCTGTTTTATTTTGACACATGAGAGGTTCAGAATACCTGTATTTTGTTTAAAAAGTTTGTTTTTGGGCCGTGGTTGGTGCAGAGCAGTCATTGCGTGTGTGTGTGTGTGTGTGTGTGTGTGTGTGTGTGTGTGTGTGTGTGTGTGTGTGTGTGTGTGTGTGTGTGTGTGTGTGTGTGTGTGTGTGTGTGTGTGTGTGTGTGTGTGTGTGTGTGTGTGTGTGTGTGTGTGTGGGGGAGAGGAATTGTAATTCCTGCTTTCAAACTTTTTGCATATAGTTTATATTCAGTGAAGTTTGAATGTGACTGTCTGGAAAGTTTAAACCAACTGAGAAGTGAGACACTAATGCCACTGAGCCTGGGAAAGATGACTTGGGTGTGAAAAAATATAATGTGATGCAACATTCTTAATCATCCGGGTCCTTTTATTTGTGTGTGTGTGTGTGTGTGTGTGTGTGTGTGTGTGTGTGTGTGTGTGTGTGTGTGTGTGTGTGTGTGTGTGTGTGTGTGTGTGTGTGTGTGTGTGTGTGTGTGTGTGTGTGTGTGTGTGTGTGTGTGTGTGTGTGGACAGAGAAACACTTGTGGGTGCACACTGAATGCCTGAGTCATAATCTGGATCTTTTCCATGTTATTTTGGTCCTACGGCTCTTTTTCTTACCTGCAGTGGCTTTACACCCACTTGTGAACAAATGCTTTTGCACACACACACACACACACACACACACACACACACACACAGATATCTTGCCTTAATGGTCGCACCTATGCCCAGCAGCATCTTGGCAGCAGGTGTTTGAGAGGACATGCTGTCAACGCTTGAGTCAGTGTCTCTCTCTTTCTGTTTATTTGTGATTTCCATTTTCTCACCTACGACTTCTATTGCACCCCGGCCATCCTAGAAGGGGGGGTCTCTTTTTGATTTTTCTCTTGAGAAGGTCTTTCCATTATTTTTCTTCCATGTTTTCTTCTTCAAGATGTTTGCTTTCTCCTTCTTGTCTCATTAGAGAACTTGGGCTGGGTGTGAAACAGTTTCTGACTGTTGTGCGTTTGTAAAACCCATTGAGACATTGTATGTGTTGACATGATGTGACTTGACTTGACTCACCTGTTGGTGTGGTTATGATGTCTGTCTGAGGAAACAAGTGTATAATTGTCAAATAGTTGGTAACATAAAAACAATTGGCACAAGGTTATAGATTTTTCTTTCTTCTTCCATTTCTTTAAATTTTGTTTTATTCAGTGCCATGTCTCCGTACTTCTGTCATTAAATAACGGCTCTGTGATTGCAAGGTGCTAATCTTCACTAAACACAGCCCTGGGAAAAAAAACCAATCCATTTTCTTCAACTACAATACAGGCTGATTAATCAATTGCGAACACTGATTCCCTCTGCAATTGTCTAGAAATATTAACCGGTTCCAATTCACAGTATTTGTGAGAATAGAGCGAAGAAATGGATGATATAAGGTTTCAGTCTTTGCACCTGAGTTACAATTGCAAACACACACATATACACACACGTGCTCAAAGAATCTTCTACTCAACTTTTTATGTCCTCTCTTTTCAGTCTTTCTATGACTGTCTCCTTTCATTGTTCAGCACTAGCCTCTCTCAGTCAGTTACAGAGTTCGTCTGCTCTGTAATTTTCAGGTGTGTATGACTCACTGTGCACTGGAGCAGATTCATAGTCACACAGTGCTCATACTGGCACACCTGTGCTGCTTTTCAGCACTATGGTTTGTATATTTTCAAATCACCATAGTAACACTAATGGCACCCTCATGACCTTGTACTCATTAGTGAATTAATCCATAAATATTGTCATTCATTCCTCATTAATGTTTTTAGTAATACTTTATTTTACACATCCCATAGTTTCTTAAAATGTCATAAAAATGAACTGATGAGCAACTGTAAGTTCATAGGAAGCTTCTTGGAAGAAAAACTGTAATTTGGTTTTTGATTATGGGGAAAATTGAGATGCGTTCAGTTGATACACTTCAATTAATTTATTCAAATGAAATGCTAGCAAAGTGTCAAGTCTTTTAGCCAGTGCACTGCAAGTCAATTGAACAGAGCAAAAATGCTGACAATGTTTCCACAGGCAAACAAACAGTTCAACACATAATGAATGATAATAAGTTGATAATGAAGTATTTTAACTGAGGAATAATTGGGGCAGCTCTTTCAAGGAAATTCTGCTGAAAATGAACAACTGCTTATAAATTTAACAAAATAAACTAAAAAGCAATTATACTATACTACTGTATATTAAACTATAAATTATCTAATATGCTATACAACTATAAAGACAATTAACCATAATTGGCATCGCATGACATCAAAGTCAGATGACTATCTAAGCTTTAACTATTATATTTTATTTCAATTAATAATTACTCAGCCTTACACATATCAACATTACACCATATTTTACTTGCACCATTGTCTGTCACTATGATACTGGGTTGCAAAATGAGATCATAATTACCTCACTGTTCATTAATTACTTATTCAGACAATTACACTGACATTGTCATAATGAAATCTTTATAGAGGCTTTTTGGGAATTCTCCATGGGCATGGAAAACATTTGCCATGTACCAAACAATGATATCTTTGTGTTTATTTAAGATAAATATGGATAGTTATTTTTTACTGTATATTTTAGTATAGTAATAGTAAAGTAATCTTTCTTTAGTGTACCAACACCTGTAAAGGTTGCAATAAAGTTGCAGTTGTGTTTCAAGTTATTAAAGAATAGGTTCACAATTTCTCAAGTCTGTCTTGAAATGGAAGAGTCATTGGCCACTGCAATCATTCCTCCGGTCCATACTGGTCATTAAGAGATCCCTTCTTAGTAGGACTCCAATGCAAAACACTTTCTGCAGTACGCAGGTTTCAGCAGTCTTGAGTTAGTTAAATTAAATAAGTATCATCCAAATGTAGTCTTTTTAATACATAATTCCATCTGTAGAGAATTGGCTGTTTAACTCACTCTCTTGTGAATGACCAGATTTGTATCTGTAATATCAAATGCTTAATAGGATGTTACAACAATGCTTTCATAGTTGGGTAATGTCATGCTTATGGTCCCAGACACCATTATTAGTAAGATGCAAATAAGTCCCTCTGTTAACAGTTTCCAGTTGACTGGGCCAGCAGACAACCTCAGCAGCACTTTGCTCCATTGAGCAGTGATGCTACATATTTACCTCAGGAATCAACCTCATTTAGACACTGCTAAAGGTTACTGAGTATCTGTCAGTATAATTGGTCCTCTGCGACTGCAGAGAGTCACGCAACGCCACATTCATTCGTTTCAATTCCCATTCTCCCAACCTAACATACAGTATAATCCTCTCCCCTCTCCCTCTTTCTCTCTCTTCTCCTCTGCTGTTTTTGATTCTTTCCAAGTCTCATTAAAGAGTACTACCCAGACTTCAGAGGAGAAAGGGGAAGATGTACACTAAGCAGAGTCACAATGGAATTTGCCAGAAGTTCTCCTTATTGACAGGGAGCAGAATCTGTCTGGATGTCAGGGAATAAATTGTCTTTCATCACCACACACCATTTTGTTCTTGTTACTTGTACCACACTGTACCAGATGACCTTTAACTGCCAATGCATGTGTGGGAGTTTATTGGAGGTACAGCGCCTCATTAGTTAACATATTCTTTCTCAAAGTTGTGCATTTTCATCTTTGCTTACCTGTGTTTGGATAAATACTGCTTTGTCATTGTGCAATGCTGCTTTATCTGTCATTTGGTGGTTTGTGGATTTGAGTCTAATCGAATGAGCTTTGAATGGCATGGTTAACCAGTGGTCTACATTAGGTTGGAGAGGAGGTTCATCTGTATTCATGCTCTTTCAGCTGCACAATTCACAATCTCATTTTGAGATTTAATTGAAATTGTTTAATTATTATTCACCCAAGATGATTATACCGTCTATCTGTTCTACTAATACACCAGTTATGACTATGAGCTTCAAGATAATTTAACAGAATGGTCTTTTGTCACTTTTAGATATGATCGGCAACAAAAAACTGAAAGGCCTCTTTAGCATATCAAAAAAAATCCCCACAACTCAAGCCTATGCAGTATATGTCTGCAAATGGAAATCATCCAGTCAGAGACGCATATGCTCACCAACACCTGACTGTGAAACAGAAAAGACTTGGTGTTTTTTTTGTTAGCTAGTCTGTTTGTGCTGCTTAAAGCATTAATAATTACATTTGAAAAACTCACCAGTAATGTATTGAATTTTGACACTGTTCACAGCAAGGTCTGTGGGATGGGAAGGGAAGGAATCAATCGCCTTCTCTCTGTCTCTGTATCTCTCTCGCTCTCTCTCTCATAACCCCAACCCCAACCCTTACTCTGGCTTTCACAAATGAAAATGTTGATTTTGTATTTGTTGTTCTACAATAAGCTAATCTAAAAAAAGCCTTTCAAGGGGAATTCCAAATTGTGTGGGCTTTCTAAGAGCTGTCCAAAGTCTTCAACAGCTAGGTCAAATGTGTCGCGGAGAAAAATCCAAACAATCCACCCTTGGTGATAGCAACAAGAATGAAATCTTGAAGTGTCTGTAATTTGTGTCAGTATTTTGCTGTCATGGTTGTCCAGAATGACATACAAATAATCAACAGGAAGGAATAAAGTACCAGACGTTGTTGTAGACGTTGTTGTGTTGTTAAATAAAGGTGAAAAATCAATGCATCAGAGGCCTTGGATACCTTAACACTGATTCTCTGTATGGGTCAAATGTGAAAAATGCCCACATTATCCAAATGCCTCCCTGTTTGTAACAAAAGCTTTTTGTTAAAAGTTGTCACCAAGCAGAGAAGCCCTGATGACATTACGAGGGTTCTTTTGGTCCAAGTTCTCTACAGCGCAAACATCATTCTCGATTTTCATAGGCTGTGTAATACTCCCGTGACAAGTGGGCTAATCTGATCTCTTTGTGTAAAATTGGTAAACTTTCCCTTTGAGAAAAATGCAGCTTATTTGTCTGTTATGAACAGCAGATTGCATGCCTTGTTGCTCCACATTTCACAGATGTGCTGCAGTATCCCACTGCTTACTTTATAATGGTGGCTCTTGGTATGTCTGAAATTAAGCAAGAATGACACTGTAGAATATGTGATGTTTGATGTTCTCTCACTTGATGTCTCTGTGATTCTTTCTCTGTTTCCTTTCAGTTTTCCTTTCTACCTATCCTTTTTCTCTCTCTGTACTATTTTTCTCAGTTGCTGAGTTCGTCCCCTCCAGACTGAATTGAGTTAACTCCTAGCAGGGTTAGAATGCAGACTGCTTTTTAGAGACTTCATCTATGAACGTTTACCACCAACACATTTATCTTCATCAAGCTTCAGCTCTGTAAAGGTACAGCATCTCTGTATGCTTTTTCATTAAAAAGAAATATTTACATTATTTAATACAATACTTAGTGTTCTGTGATGCCAGTGTTTAATAATCTATATACTGTATATTTGGCCTTTTTAGCATTTGCAACATTTCATAAGCCCTGGAGTATTGGCGAAATTCTACACGCTTACTTTAAACGCTACCATTCCTTATATTGGAAACCATTGATTTAAAGTCTTTTGTTGACTAACGATTATTCAACACCTTTTCATGTCTTCTTTTCCTTTGCTCTTTCTACAGCAACAAATGTGTCCGTGAGACTCGTCACTTCACTCAGTGGGCATTATGTTGACCCTAATCTAAACCCATCAGCAACCCATCCCTACCTTTCCCTCCCATCTCCCCTCCCCACACCCTTTCCCACTTCCATCATGACCAGTCTGAAGCGTTCTCAGACAGAGCGCTCGGTCGGGGGCTCAGTGCCGGCTACTGATGAGTTCTATACCCGCCGCCTGCGACTGCCGAATGGAGGGGCACCTCCCCCCCGCAGTGAGAGCGCCCACATCTCCTCTTCCTCCACCACCGGCACCAACCCTGGCGTCCCCAAAATGGGGGTTCGGGCTCGTGTGGCTGATTGGCCCCCACGGAAAGATGGGGGAGGAGGGGGTGTTTGGCATATCACAGTGGAAACGGACTCACCCAGCTCTACCAACACCACCAGCTCTTCTGGATCAGGGAGTGGAGATAGAGAAAGACTTGGAGGAGGGGGAGGAGGGGGAGGAGGAGGTGGTGGTGGTGGTGGTGGGGGTGGAGGTGGAGGAGGAGGAGGAGGAGGAGGAAGCGGTGGTAGTGGTGGTAGTGGAAGTGGTGGCAGTGGAGGAGGAGGGGTGTCAGCCGTCACAGCCCACAGCAATCTGTCAGCCAAGCTGGGCCACCTGATAAGCCCACAGGACTCATCCATGCTGCGCAACATCCACAACACACTAAAGAGTAAGATGCAGAGCAAGGGAAAGGACAATCGCTTCCTGTCACCGGATGGCTATCTGGGATCACCTCGCAAAGGCATGAGGCGCATCCGCCAGCGCAGTAACAGTGATATAACTATCAGTGAGCTGGATGGTGATGGCAATGAGGGCTGGTCCTTTTCCGGGTGGACACCCATGCACCGGGAGTATGGCAGCACTTCATCCATAGATAAACATGGCGTTTCAGGAGAGAGCTTCTTTGACATGCTAAAGGGATATCAGTCCTCTGAGGCCCCTGATCAGCGAAGTCCAGCTCCAGAGAGGCTAACGGAGCTACTTACTGTAGCCCCGATAAAACAAGCTGCCCTGGACCTTCCAGACGGACCTTTAGGTCCAGCCAGAGGTAGTCCGGCCAGTCGACTGAAGGAACGAGAGAAGCACTTAAAGAGGAGGTCAAAGTCAGAGACAGGTGGAGAGTCAATATTTCGTAAGCTGCGCAGTGTGAAAGTAGAGGGTGACACATCAAGGGCTGGCTCAGATGTTGAAGATGGGGGCAAAACTGATGAGAGTGGCCCACCTCCCAAACCCTGGTTGTGCCAAAAAGGCTTTTCCCATTTTGATGTCCAGTCTCTACTCTTTGACCTCAATGAGGTAGTTCACAGTCGGCAATCTGGGTCCAAACGCAAGAACACCACTACGGGTGCCTCGGCTGCTGCTGCTGCCTCTGCTTCGGCCACGTCCTCTCTCTCTTCCAACCAGAGTGGAGTGTATGGGTCACCCTGTGGCTCACAAGAGGAGCTGAGTAAGGAGGGAGCTGGAGGACACAGTACCAACCCTGCATTGGACCCTGGTGATGACAAAAGCAATGACCTGGTGCTCAGTTGCCCTTGTTTCAGGAATGAGATTGGTGGAGAGGTTGAGAGGAACATCTCCCCTGCTAAACAGGTAAGTTTTGTGCAAGAATAGGATGATTAGATTTAATTTAAAAAAAACTAAATATGCTTATTTCTCTTAATTCCTCAAAATGTTCTCTGGGGCTTTTCAGTTGTAATCTTAAAACCGTTGTCTGCAAGTTTATTTCCTGAACTTTCTGGCCATTTTGAAAACATCCAGATTAAAGAGATTGAATTAAGTTTATTTCTGCATGTTGTAGATGCACTTAAGATTAAATGTAATGTTATGGTTGTAAGCTTATTTGCTTTACTTGTCCTTCTCTTCCATCCTCCAGCAGGGCAGCATAGGGAGTGGGGGGAGCTCAAGCAATTCTTCTGGTAGTACAGAGGAAGGACCTTTGGATGCCACCCTAACTACTCATTTTACCAATGCTGGTGTGGCTGTGTTGGAGGCCTCCAAAGATGGGCAAAGCCAACATGCTGACAGGTCCAAACGATACATTGTGGAACATGTTGACCTTGGCGCCTATTACTACAGAAAGTACTTCTACCTCAGAGGTGAGCAAAATGGGCTTTTTAGATTTGTAGATCATACATTTTGATAGCTGTTTCTCCATTTCTCCATTTGGAAGCTGTCTGGTGACAGTATACTGTATTTATTAAATATCTTTAATAAGATATACCTATTAGTGGCATAGAAAATGCCATTTTCCACTTACAGCCAAGGTTAAACTGTTTAGACCACTGGCACAGTATTTAGTATTTTAGCAAATGCTGTATTATGCATTTCATTATGAAAACAAAACTTCACAAATGCTTTTACATGCAATGGTTTATATCCTCACCACATTAGATCCATAGGGTTGAGCTTTAAAATGGTGGTAAGAAAGTGGCAAAGCTGTCCTTTAATTTCCCCCCATTAATCCCATTCCTCCTCATGTCTAGAACACTGGAACTATCTGGGGGTAGATGAGAACCTCGGCCCAGTGGCAGTGAGTCTGAGGAGGGAGAAGTTGGATGAGCACAAGGAGCATGGCCAGCAGTACAACTACAGGGTCATCTTCAGAACGAGTGAGGTACTGTACATTGAAATGCACACATGAACCTTTTACATCTTATACTGACGTGGTGTTTTATTAGCTTGATTTCTTGCTGTGTGATCGGATTTGTTTTTAATTAATCTGTCGTCGAGATATACTGTATTTGTAGCCGTTCTCTCTAGAGCCATGAATGTTCATGTTCACAAATGTGTCAATATTTAGTACACTCTGTACTGAGTGGTGTTACTGAGAAGCTCTTATGAGTTCAAATTGTGTAGGCGTTAACATATAGGATATGCGCCCAGCCTTGCTTATTGAAAAACCCAGTTGGGGGGGAGACATTATAAAAGCTTCAGTTCAAGGTTGTCAGATGTGGCTTAAGACCTTAGATGCCACCCCCTCCATTCCTTTACACCGCCTCAAATTAATGCATGTTTGATTTCATTTGTAATGTACAGTTTTTTCCCCAACTGTTCATTCCCGATGCTCAGTCTGCAGTTTGCAGTAATTGGAACTCTTTTGTGAATCCCTGTAGCTTTACTGCCATCTCCTATAGACACACTAGAGCCAGAGATCCATGTCCTCATTCTCTGAGCTGAACGCCCACCTACCATCTTTGTCAGCCTTCATCTGTGAAGGACTGAGCAGTGCCATTTTGCAGCTAAACGAGACTAAAATAGAGCCAAAGGTATTTGAGTAGAGGAGGAAAAGCATTGCTCTTGTATTAAAGCGCACCATGAGTAATAGCCCTTCCAATCTCTTGGGATGACGCACGACCTACTGTGCCGTGTTTTCCTCTATTTTCTTTCCCTTCTCTTCCCTCCCTCTCTCCTCTTTAATTGCTATTTTCAGAGCAGGGCGCTGGGCAGGTATAGATATATATGTGTGTGTCTGTGTGGGAGTGAGTGGGATGCATTGATGTTGAAGGGATAAGTCCAGTGTCCACCGAGGACAGCCATTGTCCTCAGTGTGAGTGCTTCTCTTCAGTTTATTTAACCTAAGAGGTAAAGAGAGTGCTCCGATCAGGATTTTTGAGGACGTTCACAGATCACCGATCGCTGATCACTAGAAACAGTATCGGCCGATACGATTACCGATCACTGGGTCTAGTTATAGCCTTATGTTAATAGTGTATTTCTTTTTCTATTTCTATAGTTAATTTCTTATTTCACCATTTTAATTCTACTTAATTATCCACCTTATTTTTGTGTTTTATTGTTTACTCACAAAACACTTTGTGCTTGCTTTTTCCCTCCTCTTTCCCCGCACACAGGCACACGCACACAAGAGCACCTGTGTCTCACACACACTGGCTGCCCTGCCTCTTTCTGCTCCTCTCTCCATGTATCATACAGGCTGTATGTGCCTGCTCCATTACTTTTGATGGTTAGGTTTTATAAAGTCACCCAAGAAACACAACTTATTTTTTGGGATTTTTCACAACAGCAGGCGAGCCACACATTAATGAGCAGGCTTGTTAATGACACTGCATATTCAATACGAACTGTTGATTTACCTGCTCCGTGCTTGTAAAACATCCACCAGATAACGTCTCTCTCTGTTTCTCTACAAAATGCTAAAACGAATCCCAGACCATTAATATACCGGGCGGCCCGCCCAAGTATATCTATGTGTGTCAAACACTAAATAACTTTCCTGTGGAATAAAATAAATGCGTCAGCTGATTGGCTCTTCTAATGGGCGTTTATAGAGATTGCCCATTAAACTATTTAGAGCGAATATCAGCAGATTACGATCAAACGGAGCACGCTTTCTTGAAGGTGTTGGCATCAATGTTGGGCCTATCAAACACACAACATATACGCGATTCTTAAGATCACTAGAGACCCAGCTGGGCCGATTTGTTCATGAGATATTCAGGTCCTGATCCTTCTACAGTCCTCTTGATTTATTCATGGGTGTCATCCTTGAATTTGTTTTAGTCTAAAGCTTAAGAACATTCATAGTGGAAACTACAGTGGCAGAAACCTACGTGGATTCTATTTTCTCATTTAGCTAAACAGGTCTTCAGTGTTTTTCTGGAAGAAGCCTGGATTTTGTAGAAAAAACATTGATTTCATGAGCGATCCTGAGCCCATGATTATCCTTTGAAAAGAACCCTCTCATACTGCAAATTGATTGCACAGGCCGTTAGGCCTCATCACAGGCTTCCTTGCATTTTCCCAAACATGGACTTACTCTACAGATCTAGTGCTGGGCAGCTTTTGTTGTTGCCAGTTATAGGGGGATTTTGATAGAACCAACACACTGCACAGAACAGAAATGGAAGGACCCAGACTAAATCTGATTCTGTTATTGTGATCAAGCTTATGCAGTACAGTGTAATGTGCTCTAAAGATAAAATCTGATTGTGAAGTGACTGTATTAGGGCTGTCCCTGACTTAAGACTTTTCTAGTTGACTAGTAGTTGTTATTTAAAGCCAATATTGCCTATGATATTAATTTGAATATATATTTTTAACAGCTGCCTGCTAAATAATAATGGAAACAGCTGCAATGATTCTGAATGTGTGGAAACAACCAGCAAGTAGACTGAACATCTAGTTCATTTATTTCAACACAGTATAACTTCACATGTCTTGCTGTTTAAAACATAACATAATAAATAACTTCCAAAAACAAATACTAGTGGACGTATCGATACAATGGATTATGTATAATGTTACTTACAAATCAACTCGCTACAAAGTCCTCGCTGCATGCCCCGCTTTGGCTATGCGGCTCATTCCGAAACTGCTTCCCTCCACCTCCCAGCAGTCCTCAGCTCCTGTGCTAGTGATGTAAACAAACCTTCCTGGTCAAGCTTGCAGCCTGGGTACAGTCAGCTAGTAGGACCAGTAACTAGCTAGGGGCAGCAGCTTGTACATTAAGCAGTGCTGTGTGACAAGAGAAATGGTCGTGTTGCAACAATCTGCTGATACTGTAAGATTTTATGATGGACCCAAACAACTGCCATAAAGAACACTGCAGACATAGAAAATGACCAAAAATATAATAATAATGTTTTGGGGGAGAATAAGGCAACAGTATCAGATGTAAATGTCAAATTACAGTCTATTTTATTTAATATTTGGTATGTAAGTCAAATTACTGTGTTTGGTTAGTTTGGTTTTCTTATCGAAACTCAAATTGATCCTTGCTTTTCCTACTTTCTTTTTCTTCTCCTTCTGATTATGCTGTCTCCAGCTTAATACCTTGAGGGGCTCCATCCTGGAAGATACAGTACCTTCCACATCCAAGCACGGTCTAGCTCGAGGTCTGCCCCTCAAAGAGGTGCTGGAGCACCTTGTGCCTGAGCTCAATGTCCACTGCTTGCGCCTGGCCCTCAACACACCGAAGGTCACAGAGCAGCTGATGAAGCTGGATGAGCAGGGGGTAAGGAGACACAGTGAAGACTTTGATTGCTCATATTGGTTTAGTAAAAAAAAACATTACTTCATTTTGACATCATTGTTACTCAAAAATATGATCCATTAAGAATAATTGATCATTCTTTGAGCTAAAGACGTAGGTTTCCCAGAAATGATCCTGTACTATGTATAGCACATTATTTTAATAGTGTTTTATGAATCATTTTATGTGTAGGTGTTGTTTTTTTTTTACAAAAGGGGTATGTCTCATTGTGGAGCATAATGATTTATCATTTATTTTTTATGTTTGCTTAATTTATCCATTAAATGCCAGGTACTATTATGTTGGATTTAAGTGGAGAAACTCCCTCACATATCGACACGCAAACACACACACTGACACCCACACAAACACACACCTCGACCTTAAAAAGGAGAAAAATACAAAACAAGCTCTTTGATACTCATGTTCCCTGATGCAATCATCAAAAGCTGAACCTCTGAAAATGTCAACATGATTTATCTGTAAAATGGCATCACGACCACTGCAGAACAACCCAAGGTGGTTATTCTTAAAATGCCAACATGAGTTCTGCCTAAAATGTCATCATGGTTACTCTGTCATGATTTCTACACAGCAATATACGTGTCGTCCCTTTCCATTGCCGTAATCTCGGTTCTCTCCATAGTTGAGTTTCCAGAGGAAAGTCGGGGTGATGTACTGCATGGCAGGCCAAAGCAGCGAGGAGGAGATGTACAACAACGAATCAGCTGGTCCTGCACTGGAGGAGTTCCTTCACCTGCTGGGGGAGAGGGTTAGACTTAAAGGCTTCACCAAGTACCGGGCCCAGCTGGACACCAAGAGTACGTAAATACACAGCATTGACAAGTTGTCCCACAAGTACTGTGGAAAAACCTCCAGATGGGCTTATACTGATACTGAAACCAATGCCTAATTTAAAGCAGCAGTGTAAACAATAATTAACACACTCCAAGTAGAAGTTCTTATTGATTAAAGGTGTCTTGTGTTCAGTCACCCTGACATGATGTGCATGTTCAATGTCAGAACCTTGTGACATGTGACATGTGATATTCATATTAGTTGAATCACTAATTGTTTGGGACTGACTTCAGAAATACCTTTTACTGTTATATGTAAAGTTGATATGTCAAATCAATGGCAGTTGTTGAAACCACTGTGGGTAAACCAGGCAAATGGGCCATGCCTTTTTGTCCACAAAGAGCACACAAAATACACTCTTTATAGTCTGCAGTACTACTTATTTAGTAGTCCTCTAAAATCACTTTTAACATTCAGATTATATTCAGGATAAGCTCATGCAATGCAAAAACACTGGACTGAATTATGTAAGGACAGTTAAAGCATTTACCTTTTATTTCGCTACTTTACTACTACACTCCCTTAAAAACAAACAGTCCTTTAATTTCAGACTTGTGACAGATGGCCTTTTGGTCTTATATTATTCTTTTGGTCCTTTTTTGATTATTGCTTTCCATCCACTATGTGTTTTCTTCTCTCCTTTTCCTGATCAACCGTGCATTCACTATAGACAAGATTGGTATCTACATAATGCTCTTTAAGTTTGTTTGATATATAATGTCACACTATCCTTGTATCAATTAAGTCATCCCCATAATGCTATGTGAGACTAAAAACCCCTCCTGGTCACCTTTTGCGGGACATGTAATACAACCTTCAGTAGCCTCTGGTAAATTAAATACAGCCATGCAAAGCACTCCCTACAGGAGTATAATTAATTGAGGTAATCTAGCTAGGTTAAGTATGGCCTTTTAAACACCTTGTGACTGTTTTGTTCTCTGAAAAGAGCGCATCGTTTGACTGTGGAGGCGGTTATTAACATGCAGTGGCTCTCTTTAGGGCCAAAGCCTGTTAAGAGATCAGGGAACACTGATCAGCATTCACAACAGAGGAAGATTGGGAACACAAAGATGTTAATTGTTCATAATATGATAGTTTGTAATATAAATGTTTAAGAGAGATTCAGTTGACTGTCAGTGTTTCTGGACATGTTATATATAAACACTTCTCCATATCAAGCAAGATATATTTATTCCATTATTTATTTTAAAGGAGCATATATAGTCAATCTTAAACTACACTTTTAGGATGCTTTTGGCAGTATTCTTACCAAATATTCATACTTGGGATTATAAAGGCTTTTCCAAATCTGAGCGTCTGGACCAAGAAACCAAAACCACCTGAAGAGAGTGGCTTACAAGTTGTTTTTTATTTAAAACATATTTTAAAGCATGAGAAATTCACATCTTATTGTATCCCCCTCAGCTGACTCGACGGGAACTCACTCCTTGTACACCACTTATAAGGATTACGAGATCATGTTCCATGTGTCTACCATGCTGCCCTACACACCCAACAATAAGCAACAGGTATGTTAATCAAAGGGCTCGTAGTTCCAACACACTGACCTAGATGACCATTATTTCTGTAAATAAAAAGCTGCAACTTGCTTGGGGACATAAAGCCTTCAGACTGTCATTGAAACATGCACATTTTTTTTTTCAGTTTGAATATGCCATTGAAACAATGAAAAAACTTTCATTACAGTTGCATGTTAATTTTGCACACGGCTTAAGTTGCAAAAAAACGTTGAAAAATGTTTAAAACAACATATGTATCGGTATGTCTATATACCCATGTAACTTTCATTCCTCCCGCTGTCTATGTGCTTTTCCAGTTACTGCGAAAGCGCCATATTGGGAACGATATCGTCACAATCGTGTTCCAGGAACCCGGGGCGCTCCCTTTCACCCCAAAAAACATTCGCTCACACTTCCAGCACGTCTTTGTGATTGTGCGAGCTCATAACCCATGCTCCGAGAACAGCTCCTACAGGTGAGATATACACACCCATGTATGTACATTTTTCTCAAGAGAGTGTTGCATTATGGGTAAACACTGACGATCTGTTGGTGTTATGAGTTCTCAGCCCCAAAGAGCCAAGTTAGCCTAGTTTAACCTGCAGTAGAAGAGTTATCTGCTGTATTATAGTACAGGAAAGAATTCTGGTGTCATAGGACATTATGGTATAAGATGGTGACCAGTACTTCAGTCCACAAGTTTGGCTGGAGTGCGCGTGTGCGTGCGCGTGCGTGCGTGCGTGCGCAAGACTGAAAAACAGAAAAAAGGAATATTTATCACCTCATCAATTATAGGTTTTTGAAATCACTAAACAGTGAGGTGCTAAAATGGAATTAGAAAGACAAATAGGCTGCAGATTGTCAGTTTGATGGTATTTTAATGACCAAAAGTAAATGTATTTTTGTTAATTGTGATGCCTTTTTAATTGTCTTTTTTTAGTATTTCAAACACAGTTTCTGTACAGTAGAGCAGAGGTTGCATTAGACTTTCTAATTGTCTGTAATTTTGACAGACAGGGTCGTAAAATCATTATCGTCATAATCTATTATTACCTGACACGTTATTTATTTAATGATGAGACATAGCCTACTGTAATAGCAAAAACAATAACATTAACATTAATAGTATTAAATATACAGAACTACATAACTATACTTGACCTCCTTGCTGCCACTGGCTGATACCTTATCAGTATTACTTTCTTGTCGTTTATCCTCAACTGCATCATTCCCTCTTTTTTCACCTCATTTATCAACCACATTACAATTATTGTGTTTTCTAAAGAAACTTTGGATACTCAGCTGCCGTGACATATTGCAATGGCTAAGCTATAGGCTTCAGATCATTTTTAAAACATTCATTCAGTGACAAAATAGATTAAGTTAACGTGACCTTAGCAATAGTGGTGTTTTCTAATGTGTATGTCATATATAAGCCAGCGCAGTAGATGTGTTTTGAAAAATTCTAGATACATAAATTGGACTTTCCCAAATGCCCATGACTTTTCCTCATGAATCACTTTCCATCGCAGATGAGACAGTAATGCTCTTATTATGCCTCAAAATGTTCATGTACATCTCTCGTTGCCTTTGCAGTTCCATCACTCCATCATAGAGTAGGCTGTGAGTGTTGAGAGCCCTCTCTATGGCTCACGATTTATTACCACATTGTCAGAGATGTGTAATATGAAATACAAAGTGCCAGCTCTGAGTTATTTTTTAAGAAATAATGAATATTCTGCCTTTCCTCCATTTCCTGTTCAGCTGTGAAGGGCATTTCATACTTGGTTTATTCTTGCCTCTGTCTTGTTATCTAGTTTTCTGTCATTCCCTCTTATCTTGCTCTCTATGACTTTTCCTCTCTCTCTCACTAATGGCTGTTTTAATTGCTGTTTGAGCAAATTGTGTGAGGTCTTAATTGTCCCCCATGGGGCTACTTCGTTACTGAGCAACAAAACACACACAAACAATGTGCCCAGCAACAGAGTGAATATAGAGCAAATACTATTTACACGTGCTTTCTGTGATTCACAAATGTGAATTAAGTTTCTTGAAGTGAAAACTAATTTCGCACACACTATAGGTAGAGGAGGCGGTAAAACATCAGGTTTCAGAAGTAAATTATAATTCGTAGAGACCACAGGGAATTTGACTGAGGGGTTGCTTTTGAAGCTTTGGTGTGTTTATTGCTGACACCAGAGGACTTTCACATGCACACAGGGCAGGGAAATATAGCACTCTAGCACTCGTTCTATTTAGTATGGCTCTGGTCTTAAACACAGTGATTCCAAATCCTTATTAGAACCATGGCACCCCTTTTGAGGACATTATAGTATATTATTGTATGAGTATTAAAAAATATTCCTCTTTGTTTTCATAGATAAAGATACTGATTCTCTCTTGCTTGCTTGCTTTCCATCCTTTTGTTTATTTCCTTTTTTTCTGTCCTTTCTCTGTTTGTTGCCGCTCTTGAATATTTTTTTCTGGACAGTAACATTAGGTAGAACATTTTTGTGATTGTGGGCTGTTAGAGGACATTATACATCTAAAAACTTAAAGTGAGAACAAAGGATAGTGAATTTTGTACGCAGGAGGCTGTTTAATCTTTTTCTGTGGAGTCTACACGATCAGACCTGTAGCAAACCCTGTTGCTACTTGTAGCCACAGAAGGTCATTGACTTACAATGAGGGCCAGTTTAACAAAGACTTATATGAACTCAAATGAATTAATAATTTTTAATTGGTTAATCCATTCATTCATTTTCTGCAACTTATCTGGGTCTATGTCCTGACAATGGTTCATGGTCCAGTGCGTAGGATTTAGTGGCATTTAGCAGTGTAATTGCATATTTCAACTCTTGTAAGCACAAAGGTGAAACTATGGTGGCCGCAAAACGTAAATGCCCCTAAATAGACTCAGTTTAAACACAGCAGACTCCATGGAAGGCAACCCCCAGTGTGTGTAGATATAAAAGGCGATAGCCAATTATATTACTAGGAATTATTGTTACTTACTGAAATTATTGTTTATATTACTGGGAAATATGTGATATTAATGTCAATGTATAAATTTATTGACATTGTGAGCCTTATTTTCCCTGCAGGGTTTCTCATTCTTTAACAGTATAACTGTGAAAAAGGTATTAAATCACATTCTATTTGCTATTAAACAGGTCTTAAAAAGTATTTAACTCTTAAAGTAAGTCTTGAACAATACAGAAACCCTGTCACCTGCTCTGACTTGCCTGCATTTGAGGACTTAAGGATAACTGTACTGCTTACTGATTGGTCAATCAATTGTTTGCTCTGATCTGGAATACAAAAGGTCTGTTTAATTTGGAGTTGCATGTGTCGATGTTTTATACCAAAACACAATTTTACATTTTTCCCCAACTGTTACAAGTGTAGTGAACCAGGCCATTGTTATGTTTTAACTGCTCTAACTCTGTTAGTGTCTAGTATAATTGTCTGTTAATCCCAACAACTTTAAAAACCACTCTTATATACTTACTTACTCTTATATAATGAAGTCTTGATGGCTGCAGCCCAAATGGTTTTTAATAGGAGGTCTAGTAAACATAGCCACGTCTTCAATGCCAGATGCTTGCCTGTGCTTAGTAAAATATATGCCAGTGCAGTTATTTTTTTCCACATTGACACATCACCACACTTATGAGACTATTGCTAAACCAGAAAAACAAGAATTGTGTAGTGTGAGGTAATAGTGACCGTATGACTGAGCTGAATGTGAATCCCAATGTTTTGTATGGTGTGAAAGATTAAAGTTTATACAGTATATGTTTTCCTAAATTAATTCCCTGATCTCTTACATCTGTTTCTGGAGCACATTACTGTATGTAAATACTGTAAAACATAAATTGACTAGTTGTCACAAGTAGACAAAAACATGTTATATGTAACCTTCCCCACACCCACACACATACATACAGTACACCTCTGAGCCACCCACTCCAATAGGTATTGACATGTTCTTTTTCTTGCTTTGGCTCAGTGGGCAGCAGGTCGTAGATACTGGAAGAGCGGAGCTGCCCACACACTGGATATTTATAAGACCACAAATCACTGAAACCACAGGAATGTGCTCTTTCATTTTTTACTGCCAAACCTCCTGCCATGCGGATCACACAGCAGCCACACAGCCCAGCAATCCCTCTCCTCTCTCTCTCTCTCTCTCTCTCTCTCTCTCTCTCTCTCTCTCTCTCTCTCTCTCTCTCTCTGTCTCTCGCGCGCTTTCTCACTCCATCTCTCTTTTTTTCTCATTCACTTTTTTTCTTATGCTTTCTATGTCTTGTTCTCTGGCTTTCATACCCCTACCCCCTTTCTCTCTCTCCATCACTTCCCTCTGTCCTGCATGAGTCACAGGTCTTTGGTTGACTGACTCACAGGTGTTTGAGATCCGAACAAGTGCTTTTAGAGCTGTAGTGTAATGTATTGAGTGATGTTTGTAGTGATGCAGAAGAATAAGAATAAAAGGTCACATTTTATTTTAATCATTTGTTCAGCCTGCTTATAACCACTTTAGCTGCTCTTCTCTGAAATACCTGTCATGATTCATTTGTCATCTACAGAAAAACAAGTGAATATTACCTTCCAGACTGTGTCACCTACTGTATGTATTGGCTGTCGATTTAAAATTCAGATTTTATAAAAATAAATTGTAAAAAGAATGCTGCAAAGTGAAAACTAGTTAAATGGAACGTCCTGCTTCCTTTTTGAGCTTTGTAGTGTTGACATCATACCAATATATTATTTTTTAGCATTTTATATACTAAACTTCGATATAGTGTTCTAACTACAGTACTTACAGTTTGCAGGGAGAGCTGCCCTCTAATAGAATTTAAACATGCCGCATCACATTAACACATGTTGGGTGCTGCAGTAACAACTATCAAATTATCATTTAAACTACATTAACTGTTTATTAGTTTTTTGGACACTTTGGGTCAGTAAAACACAACACTGACATATTATCATTTGTCATAGTATGATTCAGTTGCTTATTTACACATCTAGCAGGTGCAGTGTAACATTAGCATTTAGCTTTGAGTTGTCTTTAGGTCTTTTTGTCTAATATTCACTCTCCTTTTAGCTAATTTTGGTCTCTACCAACCAAGAAAAAGATCTCTGGTGCTTAATGCGCCACTGTATTCACCAGGGAGTTGTTAATTTTATCTGTCTGTCATTTGGTGTCTGTTGTGGGTTTTTGGAGCTTTTGCTGGAAAATATCAGCTTCAGCTGGAAACAACACTGATGAGAACAGTGAGAGTGAACCAAAACAATATTGCAAGCCAGAAAACAAAAACAATGGGCTGAAACCCGCTATAGAGCTCCATGGAGAGGGGAATTGCAAAGTCCAATGGTAATTGTTAATGGGTTCATCACAGTTACTCCTTCCACATACACACAGTCGTGTGATTCATTGTTAATATAAAAATATTGATTGTAGCCGCTTTACACTTTAATTGGAACTTAGAACATTCTAGTATTTGTATGTTCTTTGTACGTCAAATGGAAACGACTGGGGAAGAGCATTTAAAATCTCATTTCAACCTGCTGATCTGATTACAAATCAAATATATTGTGTTTTAGGGCTCCACCGTTGTGTGTCAACACACGCTAACAACTCACTAACTGAATCAACTATTTGTACTCACTGCATGTAGTACATGGGACACTGTATGCCTGATTATATATTCAAATACAGGCTTTTTAGAGCTACAGAGAAATATAGTAATGCCTTTCAACCTCCAGGGACAAAGTCATTTTCTTTCACTTTTTCAAATGTGGCATAATATGGAATAAAGGTGGAAGAAACCCAGCAGTCAGCAATAAACAAACAAGGCAATGCATAATGTATCAGATGAACTATGTATCGACAGTGTGATGCAATTCTTATTGATCTGTTTGAAAATACACAAGCAAGTTAAATGTTGTATGACTTTCCACCTACACACATACACATTACTTTCTTCCCTGTTTCTTGTTTTTGTCCATAAGACTTCAGTTACATATGCCTTGTGGGAAAACCAAGCAGCTACGGAGGGTATTCCCAGCATTCATATATCAACACTATACTATAAAAGTCTGTGTGTTCAATCTCCAAGGCAAAAAGTTTGTTCTTTTACCTCTGTCTGCCACAAACAAGGAAAGGTGGGAAATAAGGTGTCAACAATTTGACGGTTAGTATAATTGAACACCACACGTCTCCGGTGAGGACGGGGTGTCTCTGAGGTATGTTTAGAAATATGTGGGTGACATATTGACTTTGGTTGCTTATTAGACAAAGCGATTAATCCTGGTGTCAACATGTGTGCTGATGCATGTCAGCAGGGAGGTGTGTGGGATGAGGGTTCTGACTTCCAGTGCTACTCTTGTCAGCTAGTAATTATCACCTGAGAGAAGATCTGTGATTGAACTCATTAGGTCAAGAAGAGGTTGAGACTACGACAGGTGATCCATTTATAGGTATAGTGTTTTATTTGGGTGTATACAAGGCCATTTCAGGGCACTGTTACTCTTTTTTTTGTCAACCGCTTCAGACTGAGACATTCCACAGATCAGGTTGTAAGTCTGTTTGTCTCACATAACAGGAAAAAAAAGCATTTTTTCCCCCAGTAAGCAATCATTTCCCTGTCTTTTCAAAGACTCCCACACAGTCCTCCTTTCCTTAGCCACGTTTTCCTTTTCCCTCACTCTGGGTTTTCTGTGGCTTTGGGCAGGAGATTTGGAATATCACTCTCCCCTCATCCTCCTCCTCGACTCTCCTTCCTCTCCATGGCTGCTCAGCTGAGTTCCTGACATACCAGACAGGGCAAACAGCCTCAAATGGCCATTCCAGGGACTTAATGAGAGGAAAAAGGGGACAGGGAGAAGGGAGGTTTAGAGCATTAAAAACAGGGAGGTACAGGACACGTAAATGAAGTACATGCTACAATATTAGGGAAAAAGCAAATACACATAGCCTCCACATGATAACAAATTTGTTAATAGTTATTTTGAAGAACATTTCGACAGATAAAGATAACAGTAAACAACCAATTTGAAGTCGAGAATAGTGTCTTTTTTGCTCCTATTCTTGAGTGAGCAAACACATAGGCCAATACATTTATATATAACATATAAACTATATAACATAAACTCTATTGGAGAATCTGGTAGTACTTTTAAATCTTAGTGACATAAATACTTCAAGTCTGAATGTGATGTGACATTTTGAGATTTACTGTGTAATAAAACACTGAATTTAAGCCACAGGATCTATGACGTCTGAAAAAAATACCCTCCAAAAATACCCTCCTTAAACCAAATTGTTGGTCAATACTGGAACAAGTAACCATCAATTCTTCTCTTCTCTATTCCCCTTTTCCTTCTTTCTCCTCTCACTTCTTTTTCTACTCCTGCTCTGCTCTCCCTGTAGTGTGGCAGTCACTCGTTCCAAAGATGTGCCCTCCTTCGGCCCCCTTATCCCAGAAGGCGTGACCTTTCCCAAGTCCTCTGTGTTCCGGGACTTCCTGCTGGCCAAGGTCATCAATGCAGAAAATGCTGCCCACAAGTCACACAAGTTCCGTGCCATGGCCACCCGAACGCGGCAGGAGTACCTGCGCGACCTGGCTGAGCGCCACACCACCAGCACACCCATCGACCCCTCGGGAAAGTTCCCTTTTATCTCACTGGCCCACAAGAAAAAAGAGAAAAGCCGGCCATATGTAGGGGCAGAGCTGCGCAGCCTGGGGGCAGTAACCTGGCCAGTCCATGTTGAGGATCACGGGACCGGAGGGGAACTGGAGGCCCTTCTGGCAATTTCCAATGACTTTCTCATCCTGCTGGACCAGGAGGCCAAGGCTGTGGTGTTCAACTGTGCAACTAAGGACGTGATTGGCTGGATGCTGAGCAGCCCTGCGTCTTTGCGGATTTTCTACGAGCGCGGAGAAAGTGTGTCTCTGAGGAGTATCAGTAATAACACTGAGGATTTCAAGGAGGTGGTCAAACGTCTAGAGGTTAGAATACACACACACCAATACATTGCATATGTGCTAAGACTGGCTGTTGTGTGCTCAGCATGCTTGGATAATTTATAAAATTAGAACGACTGTTCTCGCTTGTAATATGTTAAATGAGTAATTATGTGACATATTTTCACAATTATATCAATCACTGACATTTGTGGGTCTTCCTGTCCTCTCCTGTCATAGCTGAGGTCATGGCAACTACACATCCAGAACCAAATTAGGTCAGTTGGTGCCAGGTTTATTTTCCAAGAGAACTGACATAATGTAGTTTGCCAGTGTCAACCGAATGAGGTTTTGGTTCCTGTAACCAAATGGGTAGCACGACTCAGGCTGCAAAATTAAGCCAGACTCCATGTGGTTGTTGGGAGACTCTGAATAAGACCAAAGAATGCCTGAGGTGACAAACATTCATTCAAGAGAGCAGACAAGTACTGAGAAACCAAATCAATGGACCAAAACGCTGTTGGCTGCCATTGATCATTTACCTGGCCCACTCACAGTCTCTCCTACTATTTACTGTTGGCTGTCAGTCTGCCAGAATGACAACATTTTTGTGTCTAAATGCCAAAGCTGCTGTCTCATTACTGGTCTCAGCTTATTGGGGGAGTTTCAGAAACACCTCTGGACAACATACTCCTAATGGCTCATACACCTACACATACAGTGAAATGGTGCTAGCTCTTCCTTAGCTGTTTCCATGGAAACTAGTTAGAAAAAAAGGTGTTTTCTTATGTAATCATCAGTGCTTTAGAATACATTCATTTCCCAAGCCTCTCCCTACCTTCAAAGAGTGTGTGTGTGTGTGTGTGTGTGTCTGTGTGTGTCTGTGTGTGTCTGTGTGTGTGTGTGTGTCTGTGTCTGTGTGTGTGTCTGTGTGTCTGTGTCTGTGTCTCTGTGTGTGGTTTTTATCATGTATTTATGTAACCTCAATTGAGTGCACCATCTTTGATTTGCACACATGCATACTAACAATATTTGAACACACACACACACACACACACACACACACACACACACCGTTATTTGGCTCAGGTCTCAGAAATGTATTACTTTCCATGTTGCATTTGTTTGCATCTGGCGTTAATCTTCAATCATTTGGACTCCCTCAGTGCCAGAGAGAGGAAGGGAAGTGGCCTTGGGCCACACGCTGTTTGGAACTCGTCTCTCTCTCTGTATATCTCTCTTTCTCTTCTCTTTGCTCTCTTTTTTTCCTCCTCGTTTGCTCCTTATCGTTCCCTTTTTTCTTGTACTCTCTTCCTCTCCCACGCACACATTCTGAAACATCACAGAAAATCATAACAATTCCTATCAGGTGCCAGTCTGCAGCATGATTTATTCACGCTTCCCTGAGAGTTTGACTTCTGTAGAGCTTTTGCTAACGTCCTGTTCAGACAGAGAAATGCAAGGTGCCCTGAAGCTGCCAGGCACATCAGTAGAGGGAAGAAAGAGAGGGCTGAGTTGTGACCAACCACAATGAAATTGGTTTTACCAGATCCTTTGTCAACTCATTGGTTGCCTTTTACAGTTTGACAGATGACCTAAGCTGTCTCTCCTTAAACATTTAACTATTTTCAACTTTTCCACATCACTCGCCTGAAAAAGAAGCACAGCCGCTTTAAAGCTACCCCTCCTGAATGCTAAGAGCCACATCATGAAAAACCATGAAGTTCAAAAGTGTTTTTCCTAAGCGACACATCTCTGTGAACACAGCCTAAAGTGTCACAGCAAGAGCCACCTGCTTTCATTTCTGTCTTCTCTCGAGTGTGTGTGTGTGTGTGTGTGTGAATGCATGAGCGTGCACATCTAGTGAGAGGTGTACCACTTACGCTGGAGCACTAATTGATCTTTATTTATGGCCCCAAATCTCTCAGGGATCACTTAAGTTGTTCTCTTCTGCATGTGTACATATTCATTGAACCTTTGCAGACTTAAGATAAGATAAGATAATTCCTTTTATTTATACCCCTAAGGAGAAATTCATTTTGACACAGCAGCAATAGGGCAAAGCAGCACAAAATCACAGTAAAAATATTGCTAATATTATTATTATAAAATATAAAAACTATAAATTTAATTTTATTTGTTGTTCAAGTAGGACATGGAGTCCAAAATATGAGCAGAAAATTAAACTTGACTAAAATAAAAAAAAAAAAAAAAAAAAATTAATTGTCCCAGTGTTCTATTAGACAGCAACTAATTCTACACGTAAGTGTAGTGTTTGTTGGTTGTGCAAATTCTACTGGTGATGTGAAAGAGATAATATAAATAATATTTTTTCTTTCTCTGTTTTTTTCCCCTTCTGTTTTATGGTCCTCCTTTTTGGTTCCTTTTCTCTCCTCACACCTCTTGACCTGTTCCCCCCCCCCCATCATCTCCCCTCTGATCATTCCTGACACTTCTTCTTTCATCTGTGCTTTGTGCATCTCTCTGCCCTCCCCATGTCCAGTTCCTGACTAAGGGCTGTGAGACATCAGAGATGACACTCCGTCGAAATGGCCTGGGGCAGCTCGGCTTCCACGTGAACTATGAAGGCATCGTGGCTGAGGTATCTGTCTGAACATAACTCGAATGTTCTTCTAAAAAATCTAGTTCATTGGTTGACTCTTTATATAGCAGATCTGAATATGTTTTATTAGCCATTAGTCTACCTGTTAATGTGATGATATAGCCTTGTGTTTTCATTTTATTGGTGCTGTTCCTTTTTTGTAGCTTTAAAGTGTTTACTGGTAATAAGAAGAGACTGTAGATCATTTGTTATGCCGTGTAGGTAGACAAAGTTGTCTTGTTGGCCATCAGAGTAACAGAATTCTGTTCATGTTTCATGCTAAACAACACAGGTTAGGAAAATACCTATCTTGGAAGTCAAAATGATTCTTAAAATCATGATTGGTATTGAAAGATGCAAACCTTTTTGTGTTTCCCCTGTTTCAGTTAGTTTCAGTTTAGGAAAACAAATGGCAATTTATGTATTTTTTCAATAGAGAAAACTACATCATATAACCACGTGATGGCATATGTGGACACTCCCTATCTTGGATATTATACTGTTTGGAGAGTGAATCATCTCACCACTGCAGCTGTAATGCAAACCTTGTTACTTATAGGTGGAGCCATATGGTTACGCCTGGCAGGCCGGACTGCGGCAGGGAAGCCGATTGGTAGAAATCTGCAAAGTCGCTGTAGCGACGTTGACCCATGAGCAGATGATTGACCTCCTGCGGACCTCAGTGACAGTGCGGGTTGTTATCATCCCACCGCATGATGATGCCACTCCACGCAGGTAGGTGGGGATGGGACGTCATTTGTTTGCTTTAAGTTCTTATGCTAACCACTTGTTTGTTAATATATTAGATTGGTTATCTGAAGAGACAGTAAACACAATTATTGTTTAGTGCATCAGGAGTCACGTTAGATAAAATACTAGTGCACCTAGCCAATTAACATAGCATGTTTTATTGTGTCACTGGATATTTTAAAAAGTAACAAATCCAAAATCCATGTCCTCCTCAATTCCTGCCAAGAGAAAGCAATGTGAACCCTCACTGACACAAACAACACTTGCTTCTCAAACAAGATGTCATTCCTCCCCTTCTACAGAGGCTGTTCAGAGCTCTATCGGATGCCTGTGTCAGATTATAAGGGCAGCAGCAGCGATAGCGGCTCGTTCGAATACAAGTTCCCGTTCCGCAGCAACAACAACAAGTGGCAGAGGACGTCTAGCAGCCCTCAGCAGTCACTGACCGCCTCGCCACAGCCCCACACGCCCAACCGTGCCATCAGCCTGGGTAGCTCAGTGGGGAAGACCCTGTCAGCTGAGAGGCTGGAGAGGGGCGCTGTCATCCCACGGAGTGTCAGCAGTGATGGTCGACCCCTGGACCCCAAGAGGTCAGAGCCCTTTGGCTTTTCAAATATTATTATAGTATTTGTTGGGGCAATAATCCATATTTTCACATTCATTCATATTTACAATAGCATACAAATGTATACAAAGCACACAAGAGGCAGCTATTGGGTGTGTGTAGCTGGTTTCTAAACAGTAGCTTTTAAGTATTCATGTAATTTTTTTCATCCTGATTGCGTGGGAACTGTGACCACAAAGTAGCAATCAGTGGAATTTCCTCTGAAGGAACAACTTAGAGCATTGTGCTCCTACAATGCTTTGCTTTGTTTATTTCATCTTCCTTTAGTTCCTCAATTTCCATGTGCCTGCAAATTCTTACAGTTCCTTTGTGTATACGTGTTTGTTCGTATACCAGGATGTCTCCCGGCAGTGAAAGCTATAGCCTGGCCTCCTCCATGGCGCTGGGTCGTTCCCCTCACAATCGCAGCTCTCCCAGCAACCTGTCTTGTTCCAGTGACACCTCTGGAAGCTCTGCTCACTGGAGACAGAAGTCCATGCCTGAGCAGTAAGGAAGAGGGGGGAGTGGGATTGTGTTAGTCTGTGGCTGGGTTTGTTTCAGAGTATTTTTATGCAAATGATGATATATAATTTCAGAAGAGCAACAAATCTCAGTCTCACAGAAAAGTTTTTTGCTGCCTTGAGGCACTTTTTTTTGTTTATTCATTTTTCATGTTTTTTTATGTAATTATTAATCATAGAAACACATTTGTTTGTCTTTTATGTATGATGTATTATAGTTAGTCTCAGTTTTCATCTTTAGAGTGCAACAAAAAGCAATAACGTCACTGATCTTGGAAGATATTTTTGTTTTACATTAAGTTAAAAGTTGGCTTGAGATTAGATTAATTTGACAGTTGTTACTGTGTAGGAGAGTGAGGTGATAGCATTTGAGTGTCTTTGTGTATGATAATGCTCCTGACAGAACATCTTCTTTCTTTTTTTTTTACTTCCTCCCACTACAGCCTGTGGGGAAATGTATTGTGTTTCAAACTCTGTCATTCCGTCAGTTCTTCACGCTCTGCATTTTTAATCAGTGGAAACATTTAGATGATAAAAAAAGATGAATAAAAAGTCTTCTCATTTTGTGCTTGTGTGCTCATTCCCCAGGTTTGTGGGCAACCGCCACTCTCCGATGTCTACGGAGAGACGAGAGGCTGTTGGAGAGGGCGGGTCCAGTGGAAAGTCCACTCCCAACTGGTCAAGAATGGAGGAAGGGGGTGGAGGTGAACGAGGCTCAACAGGTGAATATATGGCATGGAGGACAAATTAATATAGTTAGTTAATACAGTAAATGTAGTAAGAGAGCAAGGTGCAGTGGCTTAATACTCATAGTGGATTCTAATGTTTTCAGCAAACTAAATGTATTTTTCTGTGTATATGGGAGGAATGTGAGGGGACGTGACTCTTGACGTGACGCGGGGGAGGTAGGGACAGCACGGGAAATAAATCATCCATATGAAAACATTTTTCTAATTCCTTTGAAATGAGGTATCCAGAAGAGTGTCTGTGTGTGTCTGTGTGTGTGTGTGTGTGTGTGTGTGTGTGTGTGTGTGTGTGTGTGTGTGTGTGTGTGTGTGTGTGTGTGTGTGTGTGTGTGTGTGTGTGTGTGTGTGTGTGTGTGTGTGTGTGTGTGTGTGTGTGTGTGTGTGTGTGTGTGTGTGTGTGTGTGTGTGTTTCCTCCTCTGCTAGTGACAGTTTTTTGAGCAGCACCTTCCAGAGCTGAGATACCAACTCTGACAGCATCTACTCTGCCTCTAAACAGTACTTCTGTCCCCCTTCCCCTCCTCCTCCTCCTCCTCTTCTGAAAACAGTGAATTATATTGCTTTCACGAAGAAGATCTTGATGTCTCTGTGAACAAACAGGGAAAGGTGGGAATATAATGAGACAAACAAAAAAAGGAAATAGAATAGTCGAATGGTGGAAATGAGATCAAACAGTGATCTAAATTAAAGTATAAGGCTTTTTCTCTGTCACTTTTCACTCATTATATAAGGTTTAATAAAGGAGAAATAGAAAGGTGGAGAAATTCCTTTTTATTTCCTGTCAACACTGTTGGCCAGCCTTCTGTTTGTGTGCCTTTCTTTCCCTCCCGGCCCCCCTCCAGCCAGTTCCTCATTCTCCACTGCCACTTATGTTTGCCTCTCATTCATCTTTTTATTTTCTTGTAGATTGGCTTTCATTGCTTCCATTTAATTATGAGTATTCTCCCATGCACTGTTTCTTTGGGAGTTTTCCTCTTGTTTACCAGCTCGGCCTCTGAAAGCCATAAAGACTACATGCTCCTCCACCGCTCCTCTGATTCCCAGCAGGATGTTGCTTTGGTTGATTGTTGACCAGCCTACTTTGAGCCGTGTCCTCAACCTGTTCTTGACCGCCACAATCACAGAGCTAGGCCATAGTCTCTCATTTTGTGGTTGTTTATAGCACTTATGTCTTTATTGGTTAGGGTGTAACAATGCAGGCTGGGCCAGCTTGGCCTCTGTCAGCCAAGTGTCCAGCCCAACACAGTCTACTTTGCTGTCTCTGTGGTTTGTGTTTCTGTTCTTTCCTCTTCCTCTCATTTTTACCCCCTTGACCCGTTAGTCTTCAGCAATGATGATGTGGCCATGCTCTGTCCAGAAATAAAACAAGTCATGCAGAGGGCAGGAGACTCACTTGTGCTTTTAGTTTTTGTCTCTCAATTCCTGTCACAAACAACAAGGACATTATCATAGCCCTTAATATAGTCTATACAAGGTTTTGCATTAGAGTAATTATTGCATCAAGTTTTCCTGTTCGTCTACCATTTAACAAAGCATTTTCTCCATTTTCTTTTGATATCCTGTGGCAGGTTTATGATTAATTCATGCATTGGGTGGAAAGATGCAGAAAAATGCTATTTGTCATGACTTTCCATCCTATGCACAGCAATTCTTAAATACCCTAACAGTTTTTTTTAGTTCATCAATGCCTACAAGAGTGCACACATTAACCCAAGGCGCTGGGAAATCGTGTTTTTGGTTTGTCACGAACTGTCAGGCTTTTCATACCAAGACATCTGGTTGACCAATCACTTCTAAAACAACTCTTGAGAAACGAAAAAAACATTGCACACAAAAATGTTGCCACATATACACATACGCACAGGCACTCAAACAAGCAGGCATGCACACGTGCAACCATCTCTAATTAGAGCAGAGAGGCCTATGGGCTGCTGTGCGGAGAAAACTATGCAAAGTAATGAATATTCTAAGTGAGATATGGAGGGGTTTACTACATTACTAGATTCACCCAGCAGATGTTATGATACCTCCCTTAGCTCTCCCTCTCATGGTGCTGTGGTCATTAACTGCGTACTCTGTATGTCTTGTTGCATAACATCTAGACAATTACACAACAGTCCCATTTATGCCCCGAGTTTTGCTTCAGGACACATACGCACATTCCCTCACACGGCACAGCTTGCCCAGAACAAACAAAGCCAGCAGGGACGGTCTGGGCACACACTTCTGTTTGATGTGTGTTGCTTTTGATGACAAGTGATCTGCGTTTTTGTTCATGGACACGCAGAGGCAAAATGAAAACATTGTCAGCATTATGGGTCTCCTGGAAGCATGAGTGCTGTCAAAGCAAAATACACATAAGTGAGCAGAGAGAACAACTTCTCTGTTGATTCATCAACAAGTTATCTATTTGTGCTGTAGGGTCTGTGCATGCGTTTGTCACCAACCCCAGCTGTGGTTATTGGTCTATGTCTTGCAGAGGCCCCAGTTTCAAAGTCAGGTCAAGGCTATTCTGGAGCTCCCCGAATCCAGAGGCAGGAGCAAGTCATCCACCTGTCCCCGAAGAAGGGCAGCCAGGTCTGGCTTAATTCTCAGTATTAATTCTCTGTAACCCTTTTTCAAATCCTTTGGCACTGATGATTCTTTAAGATTTTTTCTGCTAGCATAGAGTTTAAAGTTCATTCTGTTTGTATAGCTAATAATGATGTTTTAAAGTAGTTTGAATGATGTGGTGATCACCAAATAATGACCAAAATATGTGTTTACTAACATGGAAGCCTTCCTCAACTGTCCTTTCCCTTCCCCCTTCCACTTCCTGTTTGTTCCTGCAGTCGGACGGCCCTTACTCCGGGCACTCCAGCAGTAATACTCTATCCAGTACAGCTTCCAGTGGGGGCCACAGTGACAGTGATAAATGGTACGAAATGGGAGCAGGTGGAGGCTCCAGTGGTGACCAGGGTGAAACAGAGCCCAACGGCCTGGGAGGAGGAGGCTACCTCCAGGGCGCATCGGCTGACAGCGGCATCGACACCAGCTCTTATGGAGCCCCTCACCACACCCACCCCCATTCTCATCATGGCAGCACCACCTCCCTGCTGGCTCCCAGTGGAGGCAGAGAGAGCAGAGAACGGTCAGTGTCTCCATGGCATAGCCCCACAGAGGGAGGCCGCAGGATGCTGGAGCGGTCGCCTGCTGCCGCCGAGTCCCCAGGCCCTCCAGGAGAAAGGAGTCTGGAGGGGACGGGCCGAACCCCACCTACCCATCTCCTAGTTAGAGACAGCAGCACCTACAGTCTGAGTGACACTGGATCACACTCAAGGTCTGTTTGGGTGTTTCTGTGTTGATATTTAAGTGCCATGTTGTTTTTGAGGGAGTGGTTATAAAACCTGGTGAGCGTGCAAGATACATTTGAGTGGTTGGAATATTATTAATAAGTTAAGACAGACATAAAATAGTTGGAGAGGGGATTCACTCTTTTTTGTTGAACAGCGCAAGGTTCAGAGCTAATGGTTAGATATTTATTGGCTGTTGAGGGTTACCCTTAATTTGTGGAGTTTAAATTAAAAAAAGTTAAGTTTACATTCAGTGTTTCTCCCCAAAATGCATTGTGTGTATCCCCGAGGCTTAACAAACGCAAACTGGGCCAAAGTTCTTGCTCAAACTTACCAATCTTAAAGAGCTGTTTACCCTGAAAGAATTATGATCTTCCCTGAGGCTGAGGTTATCAGCATCTAAAGCAGAAGGTGAAAATAATCATTGTGCTATAGATAATAATAATAAAAACTTTATTTACTTTTATTTATATAGCACGTTTTATGTGTTACAAAGTGGACACAGGAAAGGAAAAAAAGCACATAAAACCACACACATAAATAAACAGCTAATAAAGAAGAGTCAAATAAAAAGCACTTTTATCAGCACAGAATGAATAAAGTGTAAATCTAATTTCTTAGAATAAAAGTTGCATTTTACAGCTTAATCTAATTTTAAATTTTAATTTCAAATCTGACCTCCTCCACTTTGTCATTTGTCATCGCAGTATTTGCCTGACCTGTGCGGCATGTTTCCACTTCTCATTACTCAAGCTAATATTTCTTCACCCAGAACACACACTAGACCACCTCCTTCTCAATAAGTCTTTCCTGAAAACCTAGCACGGGAGTCATTTTAACTCTCTCTTATCTTTCCACATTAGGCCTCCGGAAATGTGGAACATGTGTCCAACTTTTCATAGCTGAACTCGTGTCTGGAGCTGAGAGAACTCCAGCGTCTCGCTCTTCCTGTTTGAGAAAGTCTTAATTCACCCGTTCAGATAGAGTTACAGTTCATGACCCTGATATCATCTGTCCAGCGTTTGAAATACATTTGTATTCTATCATAGTGGCAGAGTGTAGATAAGATAAGGCTCTGAAATGTGTTTGCTAAGGTTGGCTTGAGCACAGGTGTTACTTTGATGTAATTTTCCATCTATAGTATAACTCAATAATGTATGTCCTCCCTGGAAATTCCTTCCTTCATTAGAATGTTACACTAATAATTACTTATTAATGCTTGACCTTAAGAGCAAAATTAATTTCTTATGTTTAGATTCTCCTCTGTAAAAGGTAGAGAGATCTGGGTAGTCCATAACAGAATCCTGTCATTCCCTGAAGATGGTTTTCAAACCCAGGATTGTGATGTAACTTGTATACTTCGTACATCAGTGTCTACGGTTGTCTTATTTGTGGGGCATTGCAATGATGAGTAACCCCTGTCTATCCTCTTCCCTCCATCAGCGCCAGGCACTCAGGCCACAGCTCCCCAAGAGAGGAGTCATCCTCTTCGGCCACCTCCCCTTCATCCCAGTCCTCGGCATCCCCTGGGCCCAAGAGCTTCTACCCCCGCCAGGGAGCTCAGTCCAAGTACCTGATTGGCTGGAGGAAGCCTGGTTCCACCATCAATTCTGTTGACTTTGGAGACACACGCAAGTAAGGATAGAGAAAAAAATAAATAAATAAATTGGAAAACAATAAAGTAGGTCTATAATTGTAGTTCCCCCTCCAGCTGTGGATTCAAACCACACGCAGTTGCACACATCCTCTAAGTAGTATGGTGTTAATGGTGCCACAAGAGTTATTGCAATATGTGGCTCAATTAAAAAGCTGTGTCATCTCGACATTCAGTTTCTCCAGAGATTTGGTCCTGGTTGGTGCTGGCATGTGTGGTTTTGTAACAGTTTGCCTACAGTGCTTACATTAGACGTGAATGTCTTTTATCACAGCTGTAGTTTGTGACAGTATGGAACTGAACCAGGGACACACAGGTTTGAGGTCTGCTTCTGTAAACCAGCCAATTCCTGCAGGGAGTGGACAAATGTACACAAGGGCTTGTACAATGTAATGCAATTTATTCACAGTCACATTAATGCCCAACCAACTTCCATTTGTAAAGCTTATAATGTCACATTTATGTTGAGACTGTCAGTGGTGATGATGGAATTTACCTGTGTATATTGAGGTGACAAAATTGAACGTTAGTAGCTTTATAATGATAGTATGTATTGTTGGACTGCTGTATAAGGCTGGATTTGATCCCATTACTTGTCCACCCACTGTACTTTCCTATTAATGTCTTTTGGTAGTAATAATATGCATACTCCTTGATTACCCCCTTGTGGTTGAAGAGGATATTACACTGAAGGCTTAACAGTGATGCAGTAACTGAATGCAGTTTGTCAATGAAGAGTTTTAGCATACATCGTTTATCTCATGATTGTGGTTGCTTAATCTGTGTATGTGTTTTTTTAGGAAGTCTCCAGGAGAGGGTGGAGTGGAGGTAGTTCCAACCCCAGCAGCAAGGCCCTCTCTTCGGGATATGCACTCGCCCCAGCCTCATGCCAAATCCACTATGGAGGAAGATGTGAAGAGACACAGTGCCCCAGACAGCCCTCCGCCACCACGCAGACATAAGGAGAAGGTACGTCTACAGGTTCAGATCCTGTATTTTTAGTGTTACTTACAATAACACTTGCTCATCACCCACCTATAACTCCTGTGCAGCACGGCCAGAAATCGCCACAAGGCCAGCCTCTCAGTCACCGTCGCTCACTCCATCGTACCCTGTCAGACGAGAGTATCTACCGTGGCCAGCGCCTTCCTTGCCTGAGTGACTCAGTGACAGAACCAGCACTCGGCGCTGATGTTCTCTTTAGCTGCTCCACCCTCCCACGCTCACCCACCACCCGTGGTGTTCCCCTCCGACGTCCCTCCTATAAGCTGGGAGTCAAACTCCACGGTAAGAAAGAGGTAGAAGTGTGTAGATAGCTTGCCCAGAAAGGTATTTATGACAGCTGGATTCCATTCACATTCAAAAGATCTTTTTATGTGCCATTTATCCATGGAGTGAAATTAGTCCAAGACAAGAAGGTTTATACAACCACACAAAGTCATTTGGTTTTGATTCTAAACTGATGGTATGTGATAGATATGCTTTGGCTAAAGTTCAAGATGTGTATCTGCTGCCCCCTTTTGATTGAAAATACACAATGGTCATAGAAACTATATATTTCTACAACTTAAATTCTGTTTATAGGTGACCTTTCAGCATCTGACACATCATTGGTGGATTTGGTGGAGCGTCATCGTGGACCCCTCCCTCAGGAGCTGATGCCCCTCCCGTCTTCAGACAGGGACAGCCCCCTAGAGTGGACACACCTGGTCGATGTGGCCAATACCTTTGAGAGTAGTGAAAGAAACACACACTATGGTATTGCCATTTACTAATAAGTGCACACGTCTTTCCCTTTTATGTGTTTTATCTTCACTAAAACAAGCACTTGACTTGTATATGTTATGGCCCTGAAATAAAGGTAGAGATAACATCAGATTGGTCTAAAGGCTTTGTTAGTCTTGTGATTCGTTGTATTTGTAACTTTGGGTTGTTTACACCCATTTGTCCATTACTCTCTTCCTCCAGTCCAGAGAAGTTATGTGTTTGGAGATTCAAACCACCGAAGCAGCGGTGCCTCCAGTCCTCAACAGCCTCACATAGAGCTGCAGCCTGCTCCACTGTCACGGCCCTCATCTAGGTAACACCATACTCATACACTGCTAACCAGTTTATTTCTACATTTTAGATACTTATTTACACCTGCCCTGTTAATACCTGAAAGGGAATGTGGTTACAGGTATGGTAGCGATATAGCCAGAATATGAAACACAAGTGGCTTCAGGACTGCAGCTTGTTCAGTTTGCAGCCAAACGAGACACAGTAAAGGGTCAACGTGAGCCTGCTGCTATACGTAAGAAAAATGTAGTAATATAGCTACCTCATCTGTAGATATAAATAACTGCTGCAAAAGAGACTATCCGTTGATTAAATGAGTCTTCTTGTTACTTAGCTCCTGTTTGGCTCGATGTTTTTATTGTTATTTATGTTATATATTTCTGTCCTTTGGGGTCATATTAAATTAAGTACCAGTACAATGAAATGAAAACGAGTTCAGCGTCTAAAAAGAAAGTGCAAACAGTAGCAAGTCTCTAACAATCTATGTAAACAAAAATAAATGTACAGAGTGAGCAGAATACAGGATGAACAGTGCATCAGGAGAAGGGATGTGACTGATAAAGATTAACATAAACCAATATACAGGTACAGTGAATGAATATACTGAATAAACCGTAAACCCATGAGGAGTATGGTAGAGGGCACATAGTTTAAAATGTGTACTCTCATGGTTCTGCACTGAGTTTTGAGGTTGAATATAATTCTCCACTCTGTATTACTGAGTGCATTAACAAGGTCTACCATTGGTGTGTGTTTCTTTCTTTTCCACAGTGAGGGTCACATAGGGCTGGAGAGGAAGGTGACTAAGCTGGAGGCCATGGTGAAGATGCTCCAGGAGGACCTGAAGAAGGTGGGAGCGATAACACAAACATATGCACATTCATATACACATATACAGCTCATAGACTACATGTATGCACAGAGTTCTAGTTGATTTGTTTGTGGTTTATAGCTTCTGCTCTGTGTTGTGATAAAAGATCATTTCCTGGCTCCCTTTCTTTATTCAAGTGCCAGTAGAGATGAAAAATGAAAGGCTTTGGTTGATTTGCATACAGTGGAGCAGGGAGCAGATAAATAAACATTTTGTCTTCAATAGAAAATACTGACACAAACCCAGTCAGTCGTGTGCGCTGCCACTGTTGTTTTGGTTCTGCCCTGCTGCTTAGCTCAACTGCTGACTCAGATTTCACTGCAATCACTCAAAACCGTTATTTTTTACTTCAAATCACATGGAAAAAGTGAAACAGTTTAACTTTGCTCTTGTTTGCTTATTACAATTTTTGCACTCAACTGGTTTCCCATCCACTCACACACTCTTTTCCAGTAGAATAGAAAAGCAGAGAAGCAAAATCTGTTTTTGACCGGTGCAGAGATATAAACAGCCAGGCTTGGGCATGCATTGACAATGAATGGAAGTGACCGATCCTGTGGACACGTACAGTGGTACTAGTGGTGGGCATACTGGAGCAAAACTGGGGTGGCAGATAAAGCAACACCTTTGAATGATAATGGGTGCAGCCAGAGCTTTCTCCGGCGCTGACACAGCAATGTGGAGATCCCAGACCAGATGGATCCATATTTACACCAAATTCTACTCATAAATTCTGCACCAGGGAATGTTTTTAATCCATCCAGTTCTGGTGATTGTGTACAGAAACTCTGTCACCTCATTCTTAGCTGACAGGAAGCTAGAAGGTTTTTCTGCTGCTGTACCCTCTGTTCCCTTTAAAGGTTTGAGCTGTATTGAGCTGTTAGTTACAGACTTTGTGGCCTACTTGTTAATGAGTCTGACCTTTTAACACTGAGGAGTTTCGCCCACAAAATTGCTGCAGTCTCGTTATTTATTTCTTATGCAATTCTCAGTAAGTTCTCTGCTGTCAGTGAAATACTGGAAAGTGTTAAACTGTCTGCATTACTTATTTTTAAAGTAGCGGTAGATCAGTTTGACACCTCACCTCCTTCAGTCACCCTCAAGCCAGTAGCAATCATCTTGCTGCTGACTGACAGCACGAAGCAAAACTCTCCACAGCTAAAGTGTTTTCTTTAACTGGCTAGATATTTATGTTCATGCATCCAACTAGTGCTTTTGGCGGATTCAAAATGTCAGCTGATAACATCTACCCACAAAGCCCTGAAGTTTTATCTGGTTGTGACTCACTGTCTGCAGAACTAAATGTTTATGTAAACACCAAACCGTTGATTATATTTATAGAGTAATGTGTTTGTGTTGAATCTTGAGTTATCTACATTGCACTCCGTTATTTTTTCCTGAAGTTGAATGCTTAATAACTAGGTTGATTTATTCATTTTTACCCAACCTTTCTCCCGTCTTTTTACAGGAGCGCGAAGAGAAGGTGAGACTTCAGGCTCAGATCAAGAGGCTCTGGGAGGACAACCAGAGACTGCAGGAGGAGTCGCAGACCTCCGCTGCTAAGCTCAAGAAGTTCACAGAGTGGGTCTTCAACACCATCGACATGAACTGACCCCGACCGGCACATTTTAACTCACGCACGCACATACACAAAAGCATACATCAGCACACACAGTCTGGACAGAGAGGCAGAGGGGGGGATCAACACTGACAGGAAAGGTGGAGACTTGTTGGACTCACTTAGCTTGATGCTGAACCCTCCGACCATCTTCCATTGGCTTCAAACATCAGCAGGTAATATCTCCACAGATCCTCGGTTAAACTTCTCAGGATGAGACTCAAGAAAAATGGGTGTCATTTATCTGATTATGAAGGACTGCCCTCTACTCTCCAGTGGGACCATAAAAGCGTTGCTGAATTGATCTTTCTTTCATCTTGCTGTGCCAAAACCTTTTTCGCAAAATTGCCAACAAAGAGGACGCTCTACCCCTCCCTTCTTTTTCTGAAGAAGCCAGATTCGCCTCTTCCTGATGTGAACTTAAAGAATCCCCAGACCCCCACCCCTGCCCCGCTCTCTGTAGATGTGTTTCTCTTTTTAGGGACAGCCTACAGTAGATATCTGGCCATTTATCTTTCCTCTTTGTTCCATTTTTCAATTACTTTTTGAAATATTTCCCTGCTTCTCTGAAAGTTGACTCAAGTCTTTTGTGCCAAATAAAACCCACAACAGCAGAGGGTAGCAGAGACATCCATGTGACTTAAAGGAAGAAGTCTCTGAAATGCCACGCAAAGTCAGACCGGTACGCAACAAATCTGCCAGCCCACAAACATATAATGAATCTCAAGCCACAAGAAAACAGGAGAGGTTTTCATTTCTTTCTGACCACTGACGGGTCATCGTGGCTGTTTGTCTGTCAGCCACAGACATGGAAGCAGGTCGATCTGCCTCCTTATCACGAGGGAAATTTAGATTTGTACAGTGTGGTTTTTTTTTGTTTTTTTCCCCCCCATTTCTTCTCCTCTGTGTCACTCAGATCTGGATTACAGCATCCTGTCTGTCTCTACAGCACAAACCAACACCTGACAGAGGAGTATATTTATAAGCCATCGGCATGTGGTGCCATAAAACATGACTGATATCCAGAGTGCTTTGGTCCATTCCAATTGTATGTGTCTTAAAAGCAATAGGAAGAAGTCAGGACTCCTTTCTCTCTCAAAAAAGGGAGAGTTTGCTCTGGGAAGAAGTTCGATGTGGGAAAAGATGTTTTAAAGGTTACTCTTAGAAGACACCAGTCTCTGCTGCACAAGATCCTCCATCTTCTTCCATTAAAGCAGTGAACATCGTGCTTTGGGAAAAAAGGAAAGAGAGGACTTCACTCACTATCCCACTGTCTGGAATACAGAGAGGCAGCTGATAATAAATGACAGAGACCTTTTCGGGAGGGAAAAGTAAAAGGGGTCGTTTTTTTTCCCAGGTTAATTTATTTCCTTGTATTATAATTCCAATAAATAAGTTGTTCTATTCGTACAGTACAACTGACATCAGTGTTTAGTTCCTCAAGAAAAAGGTCACTAGCTATATTATTTAAATGGCTTTCTTTCTTAATTCTGGCTCAAGCCTGACTATATGCTTTTTATTCTGTATTATGTTGTATTTTGTGGTGCCTAAGCCTGCTGTCGTGTTGCTTACAGTGCCCTCTAGTGATGACCAGTGGAAATGTCATGATTATTAAATGTGCTGCCAGTCACTCTGTATTTTTCCAACGCCTCTTCAGCAATCAGTCACACATCGACCGTGAGGCCACACAAACACAGAACAGGAAGAAAAATCGGAAGCCAGCTTTGAGAGACAATCAAAGGTTGATTTTTGATAAAGGGAGCAGACTTTAGGTGTGTGTGTGTGTGTGTGTGTGTGTGTGTGTGTGTGTGTGTGTGTGTGTGTGTGTGTGTGTGTGTGTGTGTTAAATCTAAAACATGTATAGCTTTCCTCAGGTTCAGTGCTTGTTGGGAACATGAGGATATTTTTGTGGAAAGAAATTCAACAAAAAAATACTAATATGTTTAGATTAAAATACCCATGATGAGAGAGGGAACTACAGTACCTACTGTACCGGTGGCAGTGTGTGTTGTCATTGTGTGAATGTGCATCAGTCTATCCAGCCGTGCCTACAGTCACTTATTTTGGTCATTTACTCCCAGGCAGAGCAGGGATGTGCCTTTGAAACAGCACCTGGGGAACAGATGAAAGGGAAAGGCTCTTCTTCTTCATCCTGAAAAATAAACACATACACACACACACACACACACTCCCCTTACACACTTTTTGAGTTTTAATCAACTTCATACTCACAGTTGTGGAGTCTGCCTCATAAATGTTTATACGGGGGAATCTGCTTTCAGCCTTTCTCTTGTTCATATGAATATGTTTACTGAACACAATCAGGTTGGCTAGCCTCCAGACAAAGGGTGTGTGAAATGTATGGAAATGTGTCAGGGTGTGTGCCTTTGCATTTAGTTACATGCAGTATATCTTTCAGTACAGCTGGCCCCATGTAATAAGAGTGTATTGGAAGAAAATGTTTCCCCAAATCACAAAGCTAATTACAACACAAGCAGGAGCCATAAAGCTGTTTTCCACAGCCATATTGTCTGACAACAATAAGAGAGGTGGGTTTATTTCAGGTCTCTAACTTGAGCATGTACATTGAAGTGGTTGTTCACAAACGTGGGTGTAAGCCTTAATTCCCTGTCCTTAGCTATCAAAGACGCACTCCCGGTTTTTGAATCCCTTAGAGTAAATTTGCATCTTAAATTGATGCAATTAAAACCCTGCAGCGTACAACACAAAACGGCACCCAGCCTGAATGTAAAGAGAATATAAACAAGCCTAAATAAATGTGATGTTTACTATAACTGACATTCAGCTCTGCAGTTCTGCAGGGAGATCAGTGGACTCTTAACAAAAAGATGCAACAACTTTTGGTTCTGTTTTAAGAATCTCTTCGGTCTATATAACAACACCAGTGAACAGTCAATAGCTCAAGTGTTTTGCTTGCTGAGATGATTTGATCGTTTTAACGGTATAACAAGGTGGCCAGTTGTGAAAAGCAGTCTTAGTAGTCATCCAATAATGTGAAATCCTCAAAATATACACCAAGTATGAGTCATGTAGGCAGAAATGTTCCCAATCCAGGAAGTTTTGACTGTAAATTGTATGTCGATGCTTAAATGATGACTAATAGGTAATGTTTACTGTACATGGAAAGTGCTCTAGTTTTTTGTATTTCAAATGAAGTATGGCCAAATGACAAACTGTGCAGTGCAGATGTTTTGCTCGCATCTTTAAAAGTGTGCATCAAGTTGGATGTTAGATACAGTTAGCAACCTTATACAAAGACATAAACAAACACACACACACACACACACACACACACACACACACACACACACACACAGTTACACACACACACACACACACCAGTCCAGTGTGAATGTTGAGTTATTTTACTGTGCATATAGTTTCTTTCTTTCCTCTGCTTCCGTTTTTTGGTGCTTTTCAGAAGGACATGGGAAAAGTGAATGTTCAGATGTTCAGATGTTCAAATGTTCCATTTTGTAATATCTTTTATTTTTAAGAACCTTTGCACAGTGTTTTATAAAATAGGATTGTGTTTACAGGTTTTTGGATAACAAGGGTGAATAGATCCATTCCTGTGCAATCTCGTCTAGATGTTGCTCCGTAGTTTTCCGGCCAGTGCAGTTCCCGATAAACAGAGGAAGGTGCTTGACTTAATTCACTTAAAAATTCCAACCCTTCTTTTCCTCAAGCATCGCTGATCACACAAGAAGCAGGCTGGATGTTGTTTTGTACTGTAGGGATTGCCGGTTTTCAGTCAAGCACAACTTATGAGGTTAGTGATTGCAGCGGGGAAGGAAGGAAGGTTTCACAAAGCTCAGAGTCGCGGCTCACACGGCTGTGTTGGAAGAACAAACTGAACAGTGAAGTGATTAGCTCTGACTGGAGATTAAAAAAAGCACACAATTTCAAAAGAACCATACGTTTTACAGACTTAAAGATACTGTTTACATCCCGGATCCATTGTCTTTGTAAAATGTAAAGGTATGAAAAAGACATTTGCAGTGATCACAGTATTAAAGTTTCTGAAATAAATAAATGCCGTATCAATTTGTGGTGCTGTTGACTTGTTTGTGTTTCTGCACTATACTGCTTTTACCTTTTTATTAGTGATTTGTGAATTGTGAACATCATTTGTCATAATGTTTTCATCCCTCATGTCCCTCTCATACACTAAGAACAACTTCCCCTCTAATGTCAGTCAGTGGGGAAGTGGATTTACTTCCTCCAGAGCTACTGTCTGATTGTATCTTGCAGTGAGTGAGGAGAGGGCAGAGGTCTGGGATTTGGACTGTGTCTGCCTCAGGCTCCTATTGTTCCGCTATCATACTGGTTCACCTGATTGAATTTTTACTGCTCTCCCAGCCAGAAACCACCTCGCCCATGTTTTCTTCTACACACGTTACGTAGTAGCTGGTCACCACTGCTGAAAGAGATGAAATGATAGTAACATAATTCAACATTTTTCTTCTTGATAACAAAAAAATATAGATTTTCTATCTCTGAACTTTGTTGAAGATAAAGTACTGTTACTCTATATGAGTTAATATTCCTTCCACACAACACTGCACCATTGTCTTACTGAACATTTCCAGGTTGTGAGATTAAGTCTGGTTTCAGCAGTTATAATAATATAGAAATAAGAATGATTTAGTCTATTCTGTACATACATTTGTCTGGTTTTGATGTCATGAATAGGTATCATGTATGTAGCCTAGATTTATCTAGTACTCTACTAAGTATTCATTACTTTCTGGTATCAGGATGCATTGATAGAAATAGGCATATACTATGGGAGAAATTTAACATAACTTTAGATACTTGAAACTAGATTATTTGAAGAAACAATCTCAGCTCATTGTCCACTTACTAGCTTTTTCCTGAGCTTTTATCCTTACGGTTAACGGTTGATGGTTGATGGCGATCAGTAGATGCAAATTGCAGCAACCTCAGTAGCTGTTACCACTTCATTTGTAGCACTTTACTACTGGTAGAAACTACAGTACTATTTCAAAGGTTGTCAAGAGCGAACTTTGATGGTTAACGTACACCTGCATGGACGAGAAGTCTTAAAAGTACAATGGATTAAATCATAACAGACTGCCATATTTAACTGAGTCATGGCAAGGAACAGAGTCAGAGTCATGGTAACCTTTGTTCTAAGCTGCCATATTTATTATCATGACAATAATAAAGTCTTGTTAAAAAGCTTTCTGATTGCCAGAAGACGCAGGGATTCTAGGCTTTATAAAGAAAACCTGCTTTACCTCTGTGAAGTATCAATAACCCCCTGCGCAGATTCCCCTGGACTAAATGCTTTCACTGTCCAAGTAGCTTTAACAAATGTATCTGACTGACATAAGAATAAATGTCGGAATAATTTGTGTACTAAGTGGTGCAGCTGAGGGAACTATAAAGAGACCTGTGGATTAACCTGTCCTTGTTTCAGTCTGTCCACCTGCAGCGATGTTCAGGGCTGTTTGAGGCCAGCGCAGCAGTGACTGCAGTGTTGGTCCGGAGGAGGGGAGGTGTAATGCGGAGGAGGCCACGGATTAGTCATCTTTGGTACAGGTGGAAAATGTGGGGGCTGAGTCACCTGGGGTTCCTTTCAAGGATTTGCTACAGAGAGAGAGAGAGAGAGAATGCCTAAATCGAAGTCTGATCACAGAACTATAACCTGCTGTGTCTATTTGCAAACTGTGTAACTTGGGGTTTAAAAATGAGAACATCTGTCAGTATGTCAGAGATTCACCAGTATCCCGGTTATAAAAAATGCAAGAAAAAGAGGAAAAACTCGTCGTTAAGGGTGAAAACAGTGTTCCTCCTTTGAGTCCCTGCCAGATTTCCCCAATCAGTTTAGAGGGAGAAACCAATAACCTTTCTTCATAAACACAATAAAGCTGCACCATTATAAAGAATCAGTTCACTCAGTATCACTTTATAGTGCCCAAATTTAAGTGCAATATCTTTAATATCTTTGGCTGCAAACTGCATCGTTTGTAACACCAGTTCAACTAACTTTCTGTGGCCACTTTAGTGCCTGAGCTTCCCCACAGCGTAATCAAATTACACATATTTAGCTCGGTGGTTGATTTTGAACTCGACCATCTCTTGCATGTCACTTTCTGATAAATAATTGTTATGGTAGGTTCAGACTATAGACTATTGGTAACTTGGGGGAAGCACAGCAGCTGTGAACGCAACACTGACATACTATAGATATATAAAGTTGATATGGTGTTAGCAAGCAACTGCTTATTCACACATCCAGCATATTCAAGAAAAATGATCATTCATTCAGAGTTTAGTTTCTGACCACCTGACAAATGTCAGTCCAATATTATTCTCTTTTCATTCTCTTTTGGTCTCTACAGAAGGTCATGCTAAATGTTCCACTGTGCTCATAGATAACTGTGACTGTCTGCTGGTTTGGTGCCTGGCAGGTAGTGTATACTGATAAGAGAGGTGAGAATAAACTAAATACAATAGAGTTGCTGTGAACCTTCGGAGATCCCTGTTTAATAGGATACACAATATATATTTGACCAATTTATATCAGACTACAAACTCTGTTCTGCACACACAAAGGTTGTCAACTTTTATTCTAACATGGCTGCATCTCCATTTCATCTCTGCTCCCATGTGACTGGAAATAAAAAAGAGAATGAAACATCTCTGTTTATCAGAAGCATGTGGCCATCTCTTGGCTTTTTCTTCCTCTTGTGTCATGTACAGACCCTTGATGCTTTTATCCCACACTCTCCAGCAGCCCACACAACGCCTTCATGGCTCTGTGCGGCTCTCAGCTCTTATCAAGCACTCGAGAAGGGAGACAGAGAAAAAGTCGAGGTGTTTTGTTCTTCGGAGGCAGAGCTTTGTGGTTTGCCGTCATTTGAGATGCGAACAGTGCCTTCTTGCTTTTTAAGGGGATCTGTCGATTTACACAATACCTGTCAAGTCTGCATCACTGTCTGTGATGGCTGTGTGTGTTCAGCAGACTGTCCCACTGACACACACACACACACACACACACAGACACATCTTCGGTATCTCCATTATTTCTATTTTTGAGCTCAGTTTTTATAAGATGTGAAAAAGATCGTGAGAAGCCCTAATTAGTCCATTAACAAAGATTTGGGCAGCCTCGTAAAAAAGAGATTTAACAAACTCAATACAATAATTATTCCAAATGTTTTCTGTATCCGTACACCTGTTGGCTTTTAAATTGAGAACTTGGTTTAATTTGGTAAAAAAAACAGAGAGTCGACAGAACAGAGAACTCCCTCCACACACCCAGCCAACCCCTCCACTATTAGATTTAGGTCATGAGCAGGAAATAGTGAAATTGCAGATATAAGCAACTGCAATGAGTTTCTCTTGCAGGGTGCCTGGACTAACCTGGAATGACAGTGCTGCTCCTTTGCATTGAAAGAAAACAGCTTAGATGGTTTGGGTGTCTGATGAGGATGCCCCCCTAGATGCCTGTGGAGGTTTTTCAGGCACTTCCAACTGGAAGGATTTCCTCAGGCTAGACCCAGAACACACTGAGGGATTATATATCCCATCTGGCCTGGAAAACGCCCTGGGATCCCCCAGGAAGAGCTGGAGGAAGAAGCCGGGGAGAAGGGCATCTGGACTGTTTTGCTTGCCCTGTTACTGTTACCACACGGCCCACACTCACACAACAAATGTTTGTTTCCATGTTTTTTTTATCTTGTAAATGTTCTCGGGCTCTGGCAGAGGCTTTGTGAGAGTCAGGTCTTGTGCAGATTTGCTCTGGAGCAGAGCCACACAGCTTAACTCAGATTTGTCAGTGTTAGAATAGGGAAGGAATTGTATCACCACATGGCTCATATAGATGATGTATGGATTATTTTCAGCAGTTCCTTCAAACTGTCAGAGTTTTCAAGCTCCAAATCATCTATTTAACTGAAGGAATTCATGAGCTCTCTGCTACAATATACTGTGGGGCTATATTTCTTTTTATTATAGGTTATTGTCAAAGAATGAATCAAGAAAAGAATGTAGCTTTTCAGGAAATAATCAGAGAATGCAAAATGACGTGATGCACACTAGATGATGGATAAACCAGGCATTTTTGAGTGCAGGAGCCATTTTTAAAATTTTACTGGGTTTTTGCAAAGCATGAAGACACACCAGGATAACAACTCCTCAAGACCTCCGAGGTCCCCAGGCTTCTTCTACCTGCCTGCATGTGGCTTCTATACAACTCCTGTTATAAAAATATAAAATCAGTTTCCTGCCTAGATTCTAGAGGAGAGGGTTAACCAGCATCACAGTGGCCAGTATTATCCATATTGTCTTGTAATTGACTATGACAGTCACTAGAAAATATGCAACGTTTAACATTAAATTAGAGTTTATGTATTTTACACCATGCTAATGTTAAAACACTAACACTAGTTACAGAGATTAGTTATATGTGTGACCTTCTTACAGATGTTTTTGCAGCACAGATGCTACTGAAATATTTTAGGAACACTACAGGCAGCAGTGTGTCTCTGTGATCCTCTCGCTTCATGTTTCTTCTTGTCACTTTGATGATGAAGGCAACGCTACTCTATTGAGTATACAGGCTAAAATAAACACAGAACTGAGTAATTTATTATTTAGTTCAGAGAATATTATAGATCCAACACGAAACTGACAGAAGGGCGGGACTGAGGGACAAAGGTGCAATTACAAATCTGCTTCAGCACCACAGACAGCAACAGGGATTTATCAATACACAGCACAGTCGCAGTTAGGCTACTGATACTTCAGAGCCATGGTCGGGGCCAGAGATTGTAACATGCACAAACATCAGTCAGATAAAGGCTCAATAAGTCAGGCAGACTAGACTAACATATTTAACTAAACTACCCCCTGCCTTCTCTGCTGATAGGGGGTGGCAGGTTAACAAGATGAATGCATTTTGGTCATTTTTTCTAACAAGAGTATGACATCCCCTCTCACCCCCCCCTCAAATTGCCTACTTAGTATATTTCACACAGCTCAGGCTTAGCCTTCTAATGTATTGATGTGCAAACATGGGTGTACGTGTGTAAATATATGTCATAAGATTTGTAGCCATAAAAGAGCACCAAATATGGGGCAACCCCCACCCAGCCACTTACCAAGACACACACACACACACAGCTACACAAACACAAACACACTGGGCACCACACACACTCCCCAGTGGGATCTCTTCCTGTTGACTGTTGCTCAATAATTCAGTTGGTCCAGAGTGGAGGCTATAGTTTCTACCCATGAGTAGACATGATGTGTGTGTGTGTGTGTGTGTGTGTGTGTGTGTGTGTGTGTGGTGTGTGTGTGTGTGTGTGTGTGTGTGTGTGTGTAATCTGTCAGGCCAGAGTGGTCCATTAGTATCAATGTTGCTTTTGACGACAGTTAGCTGGTAAGTGCATGTATTGATCTGTGACGTCCGTTTTTCCATTTGCACGCTAAACAGCAGATGAAAGTGAGATACAACTGGGTTTTGAAGCATGCTGTCACTTCACTCTCTGTCCCAGTAATACTCTACTATTAAATTGGGGCAGAAAATATTTTTAGTCTCCACCACCAGCAGTGAGAGTGCGCCGCCTGAATCGCTGTAAACATGCTGTGTGTTGACATGCTTAATGTGAGATGATGTGGTGGCATCTGCACACTCACACACACACACACACACACACACACACACACACACACACACACACACACACACACACACACACACACACACACACACATAGTGAGGGAGTGTAACCCCTCCTGACTACAGTAGGGGCACCCAGTTTCCTCCTTTAGTCCATCATTGCATCAGATGCTTTGATGTGCCTCAGGGCTCGGCCAAAAGTCCCCATCAGCTAAGAGTTTATCTGCCCGGCCCGCGGCTCCCTGGTTTAGAGCTGT